ACATGTGAACATTTTTCCAGGCAACCCTTCTACTTCTCTTGGAACTCAACAATGAAACTCTTTCTTAATGCATACAATGTAGAAATACAAATCAAAACTAAAGCTGTACATAGTTCTATCCACTTCAGAGCCCACATTTCCAAAGAAGAATAATAACATATCATGAACCTTCATCACATCCTTTCTTGATATTTTAATATCTAATCTAATCCTTGAAGCCCATTCTATTGAAAGTAAACATTTAATTTGTTATCATCTCCTATATTTGTAACTATTCAGGTAGTGTCTGTTTTGTGTGCCAAATTCTGCTTTAGATTATCTTTTCTGTCCATGTTTGCCTGTCTCTCTATTTGCAGGGTAACCCTGATATGGTTTTTGTCATCATGTCAAACTTCTAGTATTACTTTCATTTCCCCATCTGTAGTCACTTGAATGCTATACTGCATTCTTGTATTTTAAGAACATAAAAATATAAGAACTAGGAGTGGGAGTAGGATTCACCTTTTAGTCAATTTCCTACCCCAGCTCTCTTTTTCTGCATGATCTATGTACATCTTTATTCACTTAGAATTTAAAAAAAAATCTTCTTGCCCTCCATCTTGAATATTCTGTGGCTGAGAATCCACTGTTCTCTGAGATAAAGAGTGCCATAATTTACAACCCTTGGAATAAAAAAATTTCTCTTCTTCATGTCTCGATTTTCAAGAGCTTTCTTCTAATCTTTCATGAAAATCTCTAGAGAAATAGTTGAAGCAGTATCTCCAGGTTCATCTGGTGAAGCTGCTCGCTAATTTTGTTCATACCGTCTTAAATTACGGGGTTGGGTTACTGCTTGTTACATCAGAAGCCGACCAGAATGTGCTGAACTATCAGATAAGATCAGGGGTGTTTAACCATGAATGAGCTCTGCTTAAAAAGAAATGCATGCATTTTGTGCAATCGCATATGTGTGTTCATGATTCAACTTGCCCAAATCAGGCCTAACCAACAAGAATAGCCCCAAGTGAAAGATGTTTTCATTGATTATGTTGTTTTGAGAATGTTTTTGAATTGTTTTATTTTTCTTAGACTACGCTGATATTAGGAATGCCAAAAGCTTACATTAAAACCATAAATTAAATCTGATAACATTTTATCTTTTTTCACCAAATACATAGCAAGTATAACTTTGAAAGTTATGCAGCGCTAATGATAGACCAGATAAAAAATCATTTGATTTTTGATGAGCTTTGCAAACTGGTTTATTAATATTATTAATCAAATGATCATCTTCAGCAGGTACTTTTTATGATCTTCTTCAGCTATTCATTAGACTCCATGCTGAATGGGAACAGTTTCAGATAACAGATATTTTTGTTGGCATTCAGCAATAATATGAAAGATTTGAAACTTTCTAATTGAATGGGACTATGTTGAAAAAAATGCTTGGGGAAATGGGTTGCAATAAATGCTTCAAGATTATAAGCATAAAATAATGTGGGATGTTTTTCACTTTTACCACAGAAACCTCAATAATTACATAAACAATATAGATGTTGTATTCAATTATAGTTTGAAATGATATTAGTTAATTCACAAAAAACACAAATTATTTCCCAGCTTTATCTGCTTTTGCTATCCCCACCCCCCCACCCCCGCCACACACACACCATGTCAATTTGGTCTTATTGCTCTTTCCCCGATTTATTTTCTTTCCCCATTCCCATCAGATCTACTTCAACTTTTGCTAACTGTAGAGTATGTAACCATGAGTTTTTGTCAGTTTATCATGTCGTTTTCACAGTGCTACCTAATCAGCATTTATCTTCCCTGAAGAGTTTAATGATCTATTTGTGTACTAGCATTGAAGATTTAGTCTTAATATTATTCATAAGCATATTTTTAACTGTTTTAAACAAAGCTGAATAATCATAACAAAGCATTGATGTATCAAAAATAAATAAACGTAGTAGAGTTCATGAGTAAAAAAGGAAACCAATTCCTATTTTTTGACTTACCAGGAAATGCTGCTGGAAATTGCTTCAATTTAGTAAATGTATCAATCACGGTTTTTTAAAAAATCTATTTGATGTATTTGGATATATTCTAAATATTGCACAATCTGCAATATTAACATTCTTCTGTTAGATTCTGTACTAAATGAAAAGCTCAGTGGAAAGAATGGGGTGAATAAATATAATTTCAATCTTTTTTTATGATCTTTGCCTTGTTACTGCTGAACTGTTGATACTGATTTGATTTGTTCTTGTTTTGTTTTACAGCTTTTACTAAGCAGTACAAAATTAATTAAAACACTGCAGTTGTAACATTTTCTAGCTATTTTAATTGCTGTAATTACAGTTGTCTGCATATTTCAAATTTTTGCTAAAATTCAATTTATCATCTTGCTGTGGATTGCACTTGAGTGAGTGTCCAAACTTTTGTTATACAAGTTGTAAGAAAGAGGATAAATTTTTATCTGTCTTGACTGGATATAAACTGAAGAATAGGCAGTGAATTGCATTGTACTGTTTTAATAATAAACTTCTCAATGCATTTGAGCAAAGTTCCGTGGTCCATTATAATCCTTTTAACTTCAGTAGATCAGAGATCCTTGGATTTGTTAAAGGTGCTATATAATGTTGTAAATATAACTTGAATCTTGTTAAGTAGGGAGATGTATTTGTTAGAATTTTCCTATTTCCACGGTTTTGTGCACAGCTTTCTTTCTGCTTTGATTCAGACAAAGAAATCATTGTCAGTGCATTGAGCAGTCAGTACAGATTGAAGTCTGTGCTGTGGTTGAGCGTATGTTGGAGGTCAGGATAATTTAGTGGTCGCCTGTTTGTTTAAGTAAACTGGGGAGGTTTCAAAGTTCCTGTTTCATAGGCATCAGAGAGTTGGATTGTTGCATTTATATGAGACTTTGGTATGATCCTATTTGACACATACCTTCCTTCCTGCAGGACAGGCTGGGCGTTGTGCCTTAGTAGAGTACATTTCCAGGAAAGGATGTTGCACTTCAGAATCTCTGCATTGCCTGATTCAATTGACATGCCTCCTATGTGTTTCAAGCACAAATTTGTTTTGAGAACTATTCTTCCCAGAGAAGGAATGTCTCATCTGGCAATTATCGATCTGAGTTGAATTTCTTGCTTGCTGTTGAGGAAGGGTGGGATCATCTTCTGATGAGCTGGCCTGGTCAGAAGGGAATTGAGTCCTCTCATGTCCTCTGTGGCCTCAGAAATGAAGGTTTTAGATTAAACTGTGTTTTCAGGTGAAGTGTAGCACCAAATGATAATCATTTTGATCTGAAGTGAGAGTACTTTGAGTGGCAGTCTTGCAGCACTAATAGTTCATGTGCGATGGTACATCTCCAGTCCAGAGCATAACTACACTAGATCTGCTGGGGTCTTTGAAAACTTTTCCTAAATGATTTAACTTCTGTTATAAGGCTGACACCTCTACATGTGCTCCTTTAAAGAAACATATTTGTGTTCCTCCTCCTCAGGATTCTATTTGTTTACACAGAGTTACTGACTTGCTAACTTTCTGTAAAATATAGCTGGTATTGTAATTTGATTCCGTTAGTTGAGTGTCAATTACTTCAGATGACAGAGTGAGACCCTTTTAACATAAACAGAATGCTTCCTACCAAGGGCTCTTGATCATGGCAGTATAATCCAGATTCTTCAAATGGTTAAGGAAAAAGTACTATAAATGTTTTTTGAATGAATGCATGTACATTGTTTTAGTCTGAGGTGCATTTTCTTTCAATTGTGGCACTTGCTCAGCATATTATGTGAGGGCTAATTAATCAACATCTTTCCAGAATAATATTTTGCCATTCTAACATCAATGTTTATTTTACATTAATTTTTCATTTTGTTGGGAAAATTGAATTAATGTAAGAGTGTTTCATAAATTATTTTGGCAAACCATTTGTTTTCCCACCGGATATGGCTGTGTGCCTATACGAGTCTTGCCAAATGATAATGTTTGTTTAAAAGAACTGAAAGACCCATCTGTGCTTTGTATTCTTAGGCAATTACTGTTCACTGTAATTTAAAAATAAATGCAATTGGCTTCATGAAATGATTTGTCACAATTTAATATTTGTAATTTAAAGTTTCAGAACTATGAGAACTTTAGAACTCAAAATGTTAAGTCTGCTTTCTCTCCACAGATGCTGCTGGAGCTGCTGAGTGTCTCCAGCAATTTCTGTTTTTGTTTCAGATCCTCAGCATCTGCAGTTCTTTGTTTTATAATCACTTGCTTACTTTGGAATGCTTAACAATTCAAATATAGAAAAAAATCAATGTGTTGTGTTGTAGGAAGTCACACAAATTCCTTTCCCTCCCCTTGTTCCTCTCCTGAGGTCTGTAATTTGTCAAAATATGAGCCTGGAAATTTTTTAGTGGCCAGATAATAGCTTCTGAAGAATAGATGGGAGTTGTGCCTGGGGACTCAGGCAGAATCCCCAATGCAGCAGACTCCAAAGGAATTGCCTGGGAAATTGAAGATTCTGCCGGGTAATTCCCATGTGCATATAACTCCTTTAAAAGTAACAATTTAAATTGAGAATTTGAAAGGTTTTGCTGTTCAGTAGTTACTCAGCAAAAGTTAGACTATTAAACACTTAGTCTAACTCCCAAGTAACTGTTCAACTGACCCTACCATTTAGTCCATGCGCCTTCAACTACCCTTCCCCCAGATCCTAACTCAGCACTCCCTCAACATCTGGGAACACCAGCTCCCTGCAGTTTGAGACCCGACACCACTCCCCTGAGACCCTCTTCCTTCATTAATGCCAAAACCCACTTCCCATATTCCAGTACAGAAACCCCTTCCCAACTGCTGGATCTGACTCCTGCCCCTGCCCCTTGAAACCCACCATCACCAACCCCTTGTCATCTTGCACCCTATCCATCACCATCTTGATGCCCTAACCCCTACTCACCTGTCATGCTACCCTTCCAGCACCCTAATCTTAATTTACTAATTTACTTACTCTTTCACAGGAGCTACTGAACTGCCTGTGTGTTATTTTGGACGACTGATTGCTATGAAAAAGAGGATGTGGTTTGCCTTCCCTTGTCTGATCCACAATATGAGGGACCCGTACAGCTCTGCTTTCTGAAGAAGTACTGATTGGCGTTTGTTGTCAGAAATGCAGAGTCTTGTTTCATAGAGGAGGAGCGGAGTGCTAGTCTGCATGAGAATATCAATCCAGGTAAATCTGGCTTATAAATTCTCAGGTGTTGATAACTCTTCCGCTGGTTTGTTCACTTGCCCTCGTTTCATGAAAGTCCAGAAAGTGTCAGATCCTGCCCATTTCTAATTATTCAAATCCTTTTTGGTGACAGGATAGCATTCAAGGTGGGAACCTTGGTTGATTTAGATTTGGTTTTCCAGATCATGGCCTCCCAGCTACCAGATTTCCACCTAGGCACTGATGATTAAAAATTACCAGCAATGTGGCCTTTTCAATAAGAAGCAACATACATTAGGGCAGAGGTTCTGCTTTGAGCACAGCTGATGATCAAAGCATAAATTGTGCATGTTTTGAAAAGTTTCTTCAATTGAATTCCTACAAAATTCCACATTTGAGTTGTTTCTGAACAATTTACTTCTCATATGTTCAATAAAGTTTTGTATTTTTCTGTTTTTTTGCAAAGTTACTTGCAAGAATTGGTAAAACAATAATTTGGGTTATGTATTTGAAAACGATACTACCTATGTATGCTGGGAACTAGTAGACATGTCTGGCCTGTAGGATTGCTGCTTAGTTCTGCCTATAGAATACATGAGATTGTACATCGCATCTTGCCTAGTGGTGATAGTGATGGACAGCCATTTACGAAATATCCCTTAAAGGAATATCACAACAACCCTCTTCTTTGTATTAAAATATTTATCCTTGAAGTATAAAACTCTTTCCAATACATCAAAAACTAACTCCTTTGATCTTGAAGATATTATTAAGCAGATCAATTAATTTATAATTCTCTAAAACATACTGGCAGTTTACTTGTACCCTCTTCCTTGGTTTGAATTGCTGTGTATTATGATTATGTTTGTCAGTTAGTTGCTATGTTCAAGTTATGTCTTAGATCACGTTATCTAGTAATTTTGTTATTTTGGTAGTTGTGATTGTGATTTTGGTCTGATTTGGCATCTGCTTCATTGCATTGTCATGCCATTTGGTGGAATATGGCAGTTATTTCCTCTGGATTCTATGTCATCAGTTGGGTGTTGTACTTGAACATTGTTTTCATTAGTTTAGGTCGAGTACTTCATTGTCTGCATGCCACCCTTCAGCATCTTTGATCTTTTCTTGTTCACAATCAAAGCATCCCTGAATCATGGGTATGGGGATGTTTGTACTTGCCTGTCAAGTAGAAATTACATAATAGGTCCACAGTAAGATGAAGGTTGTAAGTTCAGAATGCGTATTCCTATTCCCGTCAGAATGTACTGCATTATGTTAGCTTTCGTTTAGCAATGCAAGTTAAGTAGTTGCTTTCTACGTGTAAGAGTTTCCAAGAATGCTTATTGTGTTCTCTAGCCTGTAGGAAATGGACAGACCTGCTCTGCACCACCCCATCCAGCAGATTTCTGCCATGTCCAGGGCAAATATCACCAACTGTGCAGGGCAGCCTTGGACTGCTGGTATCTATCCAGGTGTGCAAATGCATTTTAAGCATGGCCGCAGCAGCTGGGATGGACCCTATTCCAAGATGTCCCAACACATCTGACCCAGAGGACCACTGTTCTATTTGGTCCATAGAGTATATGGGATTATACATGCATCCTATCTTGTGTTCAATTGTGATGATCAACAAGTTAGAACATACCCCCTGCAGATACATTACAGCATAATACCTTTTCTACCCACTCCCCTCCTCTTTATAGCTTATTGTACTGAGGCTTGTAACTGGAGGGTTTACAGTACTAGGGGAATGGGTGGGCAAGAGTACAACATGCAACAAATCTGGTGAAATTCAAGCTTGCCGAGCCAATTTCATGACTTAGTCCTGTCTTGTCCATTCCTGTCATTGCTGAACTTGTACCAACATTATACACATATCTCTGTATATTGGTAAATATCAGGCATAACTGGACAGGGACACAATTGAGTTAGCAAAATCTGGGAAAATTACTCAAGTGACCTCAAATGTAAATATATATCCTGATGTTCAATGCACAATTGTTGTATTTTAATAATTGTATAAATTTATCTTGTTTCTCTGACATCAACATTTTAAGGATTGTCGAGACTTGGTTTCACACTTCAACCTCATGTTTTGTTGATATTGCCACTTTCTTTCTGCACATGTACAGTTTGCAAAAAGGCAAGTATCAGATGTTAGTGTTAGCGGAAAAAGTGGTTTGAATCAGAGTGCCAGTCCACCCACTGTGAATAACATGATTTTAAATAACAGAAAATGATTTTTATAAAATAGAAATTAACTTTTGTTAAATAGATTGGGAATGCAGTAGTTAGTTTCCCACTTTAGTGAGAAGCTGTCATAAATTTTCCAAATGTTCCTAAGATTGTAATTGCATCATAAAGATTCAGCTTTATTTTGGAGCCATTTAAAGACTTGCAATTGGACCAAAACACTCGATGTTATTGTAGTGGAGTGTCATGTTTTGTGAATGGGTCTATCTCTTGAGTGAGCTGTTTTTCAAGTGGATGTCTCATTACATTGCTTTTAACAGCTTTGAGTGAATTCCACCAATAAAAATGAGAAAGCTGAATGGAAACTCATGCACGAATCATCGGATGAGGGTTACAAAAACAATAATGTAGGTTCTTGACTTGAAGATGGGATTTTGTACATTCAATTCGAATTTTTTCACTTGAGTTTTGGTGTCTTTACCCATATTGATGGATTGAATGTCGCCTCCTGGGAGCTGTAGGAAGTTGATGTGTGTTTGATGAGTATCCACAAATTTTTAATTGATGCATGTTTTTATTCATTTTGTTTCTTAATTGCAGGAAAATGGCTCATTCAGTTTTTGTTACCTTCTTTGGATTATTTGCATTGGTTTCAGCTTTACCGCACCAATTCAGTCCCACTGAAAGTAAGTAAAATGTTGTAAGAAATGTATTAAAAGATTATACTGTATAACTTTTTTGTTGTAGAGAGTAATCACAGAAATATCTAGGTCTAAACTTTCCTGTCACACTCAAGTTACAGTGAATAGATTAGTCATTGTCAATTTTTTTTTCTTTATTCATTAATGGGATGAGGACATCGCTGGCTAGGCAGCATTTACTGTCAATCCTGAGTTTCCCAGAGGGCAGTTCAGAGTCAACCACGTTGCTGTGGGTCTGGAGTCACACGTAGGACAGACCAGGTAAGGGTGGCAGTTTCCTTCCCTAAAGGACATTCGTGAACCAGGTGGGTTTTTCCGACAATCAACAATGGACTCATGGTCATCATTAGATTCTTAATTCTAGATATTTATATTGAATTCAAATTCCACCATCTGCCGTGGTGGGATTCGAGCCTGGGTCCCCAGAATGTTATCCGGGTCTTTGGATTAACAATCCAGCGATGATACCCCTGGGCCATTGCATTCGCTATCATATATGAGAAGAAGAAAGGTTTGTACACCTACAGTCTTTTATGTGTGAGATGTTAATGGAAAGATAAGATTTAACAGTTGTGTAACTTAAAAGAAATTGTGAAACTTGCAATCTTAACACTGAATTTTTAAACAGTAACCCAGAGTACAGTCGTGGGATGGTTATAAAGTTGACAAAGATGACTCATGGTTCTGGGCTTCACTGGAATTTTATTTTATATCTCAGTCAGCATTGCTCCTACGAGTGTGTTCTATACAGGAAATTAGATTGTGCTCGTATATGCAAAGTGCCCAGTTTTATGGTGTCTCTCGGGATTGAACTGAAGTTACAGCATGATCTTCATGGAATTCACATGAGAGTTTTTGTATTCTTTGTCTTTGGATTGTGGAGGAAATAGCATTCAGTTGGATTGTGCAACTTAGTGAATAAAATATATTGAGATTTATTACATTTCAAATACCAGCGCATGAATATTGCAAATTTCAGTTGATTGTTAACCCTTTAAATTTACACCTTATAATAATAACACATCTCCTTTAACGCTCTTAATATGCACATATTTGGACTGGTATTCCTGATACAGATCCATGTATGAGGTAACTTCTGAACAAATTTTCCATTAAATTGTACATATACATAATTGTGCAGCAAGTTGGATGGTACTGTGAAGGCAATTCACAAGTTGTTTTCCTTAACATGCTTGATGCATATGTTGCTGCACAAAAAAAAATAAAACTACTATGCATGGAAATCAACAGGCCTGCGCAACAAAGCAAATTTAGAGGAAACATTATGCTAGTCAGCTGGAGTATCTAGCTGTCTGTCTGAAATAACTGCACAGAAGCCAGGTCCTATCTCCAAGCCAACCTTTATTTACGCGTGCACAGTAGCCAGCTTGGAGTCAGTCCTCAGCGGGGGAGATACTAATGTCCTGGTTATATTGGTCAGCCAAGGCTTTCCTGATTGGCCCAGGTTAATAACCCCAATCAAGAATTTTTCAGATAACAAGGTCAACCTGGTCCCAATCATGACATCCCTTCCCCTCACAAGTCCGGGGATGTAGGCCTCGTCTTGCGCTTTTGCTTCTTTTGCAGCACGTTCACCCCAGGTCCCGTTCCTCTGACACGGACTCGGACACAGGTGACATGTACCGGAATGTGGACCACTTCTTGCGTCTTGAACATCTCGGAAGAGTCTCCTCCTGTTCTTCTGTTGGCAAGGGTATCGAGGCTGTATCCATTTCGGACTCAGGTTTCATCGACACTTGATGGAGGGAGAGCACCTGCAGTTTCTGCCAGGCCTTTGGGCTGTTCTGAGGGGTCGGCTCTGTTTTGTTCCCACCCCCGTTTGCAAGGTAACGGCTTTCATGTGATCCATGTGTTTGTTCTGGACCTACCTGAAATTTGTAACTCACTGGGTCTGACCTTGCATCAATCTCACCTTGTACCCACACAGGGACATTTCCGTGGTTCCGACACTAAACTTCTTCCCCTGTATTAAATTCCCTCTCTCGCTTAGAGGAGGTGTTTGGCTAGCATTGATGTTCCAACTGCCATTTCATGCTCCCACCCCCTGCACCGTGTCTGGGAATATCAGATTTAACCTGGTGCAGAGTCTTCTCCCCATCAGCAAATCTGCTGGAGCTGTGCCTGCTGTTGCATGTGGGGTGGTTCTATAATCGAACAGAAACCGGGACAGTTTGGTCTCAATTGACCCTATAGACTACTTCTTTAAATCTGCCTTCAATGTTTGGACTGCTCTTTCAGCTAGACTGTTGGACGATGGATGGTATGGAGTTGTTCTTATGTGCCGAATGCCAAATGACATCCGGTTGTCCGTGACCGATACTTCTGGGAGTCCGTGAATTGTGAGTGATGCTCACAGCTTCTCAATTGTCCCCGAGTTTGCTGACCTAACTTTATGCAAATCCAACTGCTGTGAATGGGCATCCATAATGACCAGGAACATTGAGCCCCTGAAAAGACTGACATAGTCGACGTGCAACCGAGTCCAGGGTTTTCCCAGCCATTCCCACGAATGTGGGGGCGCCAATGGTGGCAATTTCTGTCCTTGTTGGCACTCCGGGCACTGACCCACCAATGCAGCTATGTCGGCATCCAACCCCGGCCACAAGACATAGCTTCTTCTAGCATCTTCATCTTGGAAACCCCTGGATGACCCTGGTGGAGTTCAGCCAGTATCTGACAGCGACCGTTACTCAGGATAATCACCCTTGCTCCCCACAGTGATATGCCGTCCTCTACAATGATCTGGTCTCACTGGGCCCAGAAAGGTTTCGGTCCTGGTTGCGATGGCCCTTCAGTTTCACCCGTTAGCACCAGCTGTTTCAGTTTCTGTACTACAGGACCTTTTTGTGTCAGTATTTGGATATTGTCTGTGGTGACTGTAAAGGCGTGCAGAAAATTTAAAACCAAAATGGACTCTTCCGGGGGAGGCACCACAGGTGGAGAACCTGCCAATGGGAGGTGGCTCAGGTCAACCACATTAGCCACTTGGCTTCCTGGACAGTGCTCTGACTTGTACTTGTACACACTGAGAAGAAGGGCCCAACACTGAATTCTACCGGAAGCTATGGGCGGCACCACCTTGTCTTTCTTCAGTAGCCCAGCAGGGATTTGTGATCTGTTACTATGACAAATTCCCAGCCATAAAAATATTTTTAGAACTTCCTTACACCAAAGATGACCGCCAAATCTTCCTTCTCTATCTTGGCCCTAGTTGCGTTCAGCATCAGCCAAAGTTCGGAAAGTATACGCTATCGGGCATTCCTCCCCAATACAACGCACTAATTCTCACTTTGGATCGTAGTTGGCCAACTCCTTAGATGACGACATATGCTTTTACGTTTTCCTGAAGGTTGCTTCTTGGCTTCCTGACCATTTCCAAGGCTGACCCTTTATTTACCAGTGCACAGTACGTTGGCTGTGGTCAACCAGCTCGGAGTCAGCCCACAACTGTGGAGATTCTAATCTCCTGGTTATACTCTTTGTATTAAACTGTACAAAACTGCAAAACAAATCAAGGTGACAGTCAACAAAGCAAACAGCCATTTACAGGGAAATACAGAAGGTTACCGAACCCCAAATCCCGCCGTAACTCGTCATAAGAAAAAACTTTAGGCAAAAGTACACATGAGATAAATTGATACAAACGAACAATAAGAAAGCAATACATGCAACACTGACACCCCTGGAAAACCAGCAATTGGCCTACCCTTACTCACATTCTAACCACCTCTAGGACAGCCCTGCCCCTACGTACCTTTCAGTTCTCGGCCTGCCCCTATGCACTTTCCAGCTCCTAGCCCGCCTGTACTCACCTTCGGTCACCTCTAGGACAGCCTGTACCTATACCTTCTCGAGACAACAGTTTTCGGGATGACCTACGAGCCTTCTGATTCTAGGGGGAAACTAAGCACTATCTGGCTTTTGGAATAACCTACTCACCTTCCAGCTCTCGGTAAGGCCTGCTAGACCCAGGGACATGCAAAACACAGTACATACGAAACAATCCAAACATAAAGGCCCAGGCCCGAGTTCATGCCTGAAGGCAGCAAGCACACACCTCACAGCATATATACAGATACTCAGCCCATCTCTGAGGCCTGATCCGCTTGCAGAAACACAGGTGGCTCCTGGAGGCCAGACCTACATTCAAGAATACGGCCAACCCACGGAGGGCCTGGTCCATCCACAGAGGCCTAGCCCACTCACGGAAACACAGTTCACTCTCAAAGGCACAGCTGACTCATGGAGGCTAAGTCCAGCCACAAAAAAAGGTGAAAACACATGAAACAGTAAAGTGCAAATACTTAAAACTGTGATGTTCGGAGCAAGCCTTGCTACTAAGTCATTTTTGCTTTGGTTCTAAAAATAACAATTCATAGGCTGTAACCAGCTCGTTTAAAAGAACAAGCAGTTTCCCACTGAGAACTAAAATCCAGCAGTAACACTGGCTGTGACCCAGCCAGCCTGGAAATCAGTTCTCAAAAAGTGAAAAAGAATCCGCAGTATTACTGGCTGTGACCCATCCAGCTTGGGAGTCAGTCAACAACTGTGGAGATTCTAATCTCCTGGTTGTTTATTTTTGTTTTATTTTTCAGTCATGAAAGAAAGAAATGGATAATCTCAACCTTCTTCCTCATGAGTTGATTGTATTTCTGAAATAACTGCACCGAGGCTGGTATCCTGTCACCAAGTGACCCTTTATTTACTTGTGCACCGTACCACTGGCTGTGGTCAGCCAACTCAGAGTCAGTCCTCAATGGGGGAGATTCTAATCTCCTGGTTATATTGGTCAGCTGAAACTTCCCCAATTGGCTCAAGTCAAAAACCCCAATCCAGAACTTCCTAGTTAACAAGGTCAATCTGGTCCCAATCACTACACTGTCTCTGGATGGATTAACATTCAAACATAGGGGATCTGGGAGCATATTGCCTGAGATGTACCCCTCTTACTCATTTAATTCATCGCAGAATATAAGAAATCAAAAGCTGTCATTTACAGTAAGACAAAATGTATAAGTTAAAGTGATGAATTCCTGAATCTTTGCGACATGTTTGGCATAGGTTTAGTTGCACATGATATCAAGGATTGATGTCAGACAAAACAAGTTGTCTGTTCCAAGTTTCGTAATTTTGGTAGTATGGTAGCTGTGGTACCAGACCCATAAACTGGACATTCGAGCAAAAAATCTGAAATTTACTTTAATGTGAATTTAATTTTGAAAGCATGTGGAGAATAGATGTTTTGAAGAATAGATGTTTTGAATAATTTTCTGATAGTTGCAAATTTGAGTTCCTTGCTTTGTTGATTGAATCACCAAGAGCTCAAAGACTAGTTGCAAACTCCATTTGTCAAAAAAAATGTGCAGGTTTAAATGATTCCTTTAACATCATGTTTCTTTTATTTCCTCATTTTTCTGCCTTGGTTTATTTTTCTGTGTTTTAAGATGGCACTGGAGAGTGGCAACACTGTGCAACACTTGTCACTGTATTTTGTAACCAGATATTTGGGACATTAAACAAAACAAATCAAATCAAGTTATTGAAGAATGTCAGCTTTCTATTATTTAAATATTCTGTAAAGAAATGACATTTGAAGAAACTTGGTTATCGGTTTTGCTAAACTTTTTGAGGATTGATTCAGACTTATTTTCTTTCAGATTTGTGAGCAAGCTGTCTTATTTGTTTCTGTATAAGACTTTGAAGTAGGTTTTCAACTTGTCGCCCAGTTACAAAACTGATGTTGCCAATTGGCTGCTGGTTTCAGGAATCACCTGGTTTTCATTTCCGAGGATTACAACAGTGGCATGTTGAAAATAATCAAAGTTTTGTGGGCCTGAATAATATTAATCAGCTGTAGAAATAATGTAGGCATGTAATGCCAATTCTACGTTTAATGAATGTGTTTATTATTTCACCAAGGTGATGTATTCCACATAACATTGCTCATTAGAATATATTTGGATCACAAGGAATTATCTTTTTTAATTTGTTGTTGGGACGTGAGCATTTCTGCAAAGTTTAATTTTGTTTTAAATACCCAGAGAAAGTGGTGTAGGCTTTCATTAATAATTGTTTCCCGCTGAATAGCTTGCTAGGCCCCTTCAAAAGCCATTAAGCATGGGGCTAGATTCATATTGGTCAGACTTGGAGAATAGGAAACTAAATAGGTTTTATGTAATGCAGCAGCTTTCATCATTCATCTTCATATGCAAGAACATAAATCCCCAGGCCTTAAGATTTATTTTCACATCTCAACATGTCCTGCCTTCTGGATTACTGATCTGAAAGCATAAAAGAAAGCTATTTGTCTGATGGAATAAATGTGAGGTTCCTTGTCTCTGAGTGCTACTCATTTCTGTTAACTGACAGAAACATCTGTGGGAGTTCAAATTTAAATTGGTTATGCTGTTTTATTAGTAGTGTGCTATTGGATTTTCAAAGGGATCCATGAAATTCTGCCAGATGTTTTGTATCAAATTTTAGTTGTTTATTTAGGAGCATTGATGTCTCTGAAGCAGTAGATTGAGTGTTCACCATAATTTGAGCTCATGATTTGAGCTGATTCTTCAGTATTTAAGTTGTGCTCCATCGTTGAACGTGGCTTTTTAGAGAGAGAGTTCCTGTGTGCGTGAGGTCCGAACTTAACAGTATTAGCTCCATAAGCACTTTTGGGCTGGATTTCCAGCTCCCACTGGAGGCAGGATTTAGGCACAAGCTCAATTGAAAAATTGAGTTCCTGGAGGGCAGCCCTGGATCCCACATTGTAGCTTTCCGTCTGAGGTTTGAAGGAGTTAGCAATTGGAGTGCCTCTCGGTTAGTGCTGTTGTATTTGTTGTCTAGGTGGGCCAGCTCCAAATTTCAATCACCTGTCATGGGGGAGAGCAGTGTTTCTGATAGCTATGGTGCATTTGGTGTGAATGTGGAAGGAACTGTTGTGGTTAATGGAGGCACTGAAGAACTCCTCTGAAAGACTGAGAACAGTGCTCAGCTACAAAACCAGTGGTATAGTATTGCCATCACTTGTGATCAGGAGTGCTAGCAGAGGAAGTAAAAATGGGATCATGCTACTCTGAAATTTACCTCCCTCAGTAGACTGGGATAGATCCCATCAGGACCTGGGGACTTACCTACCTTAATGTTTTTTCAAGACACCCAACACCACCTCCCTAATACCAACATGCCCCAGAATGTCAACATGACCCTGTCTAATCTTTCATTCATGTCCTTCTGCTTGGTGAATACTGATGTGAAATACTTATTACGGACCTTACGCACTTCCTCTGGCTTCACTCGTAAATTCTCTCCTTTGTCCTTGAGTGGACCTACCCTTCCAAAAGTTACCCTCTTGTTCCTAAAGTACATATAAAATATCCTGAGATTCTTGATATTCCTACTTGTCAAGGACATTTCATAACCCCCTGTAGTCCCCTAATTCCTTGATTATCTTATTTCCTGCTTCCTTTATATCCCTCAAGGGCCTTGCCTAACTTCAGTTTCCTAAACCTTACATATGCTTCCTTTTTCTTTTTGATTAAACTTTCAACAGCTCTTGTTATCCAGAATTTCCAAATATTGCCATCCTTATCTTTCATCCTCACAGGAACATGCTGACTCTGAACTCTGATCAGCTGGCCTTTAAAACATTCCCATATATCAGATGTGGATTTACCCTTAAATGGTTGCCCCCGATCTAATTTCTCCAGTTCCTGCCTACTCACATAGTAATTAGCCTTCCCCTAATTTAGCACTTGCACCCGAGGACCAGTCTTATCCTTATCAATAATTATCTTAAAACTTGGAGAATTATAATCACTTTCCCAAAATGATCCCCCACTAAAACTTCAAGCACCTGGCCAGGCTCATTTCCGAATACACGGTCTAGTATAGCGGTTTCCTCATTGGATTATCTATATGCTATTTCAAACATTTTATGTATTTGTTTCTGATTTCTAACATTTGCAGTATTGTACTTTGATTTGAGCTAGCAAATATCCCTGCTGTGCATGGCTTCCAGTTTGATCATTGCTGTTGGGCTGTGGCAATGGCATCCATGCAATATCCAGCGTCCCACACTTCTCCCTTTCTCCCTACTCACCCATTCGATTAAGTTGCTGTTTGAACATTTTGTCACATCGCACATGTACTCTGGTGAATTTCAAAGTCATCAAGAATGATTTGGCAACACCACTGCTGACCTAGCTGGCCGATTCCTAAAGGATATAGCTTATAGATTGAGTCTGTGGCAGATGGTGAGAGAGCCAACAAGAGGGAAAGACCTACCGAGCTGCCTGTTGTGGATGCATCTGTTGACCTTGGTATCGGAGCGAGGGATGATTGTAGAGTTGGAGTCCTGCACTGAGAGTCAAAAACCTACATTCACCTCCAGGATATCCTGTACTATTTGATGCAGCACTGCCACCATGCAAAGTAGATTTCAAATTGACCCAAAAACTCCAGCCTAGATGTTCCTGTAGGCTGCTAACAGTAGCATTTTTTTTCAATCATAATCTGTAATCTCATGGCTTCGCATATTCCCAACTCTACTATCACCATCAAGCTGGGAGATCTACCCTAGTTCAATGAAGTGTGTAGGAAGGCATTACAGAACAGATCAGTCACATCTAAAACTGAGATGTCAACCTGGTGAAGCTACAACACAGGAATACTTGGATGCCTCACAGTAGAAGCAGCATTTGATTGACAGCTAAGCAAATGCACAAACAACAGATCCTATCTAAGTTTTGCAGTCCTGCTACATCCAGTCATGAAAGACGGTGCACAATAAACAACGGACAGGAGGTAGAGACTTCACAATTATCGCCGTCCTCAACAATGGGGGAGTATAGCACACCAGTATGAAAGATAAGGCTGAAGCATTTGCATTTGTTTTCAGGCAGAAGTGCCAAGTTGATCCAAAGATAGTAGGACCTGCAGATGCTAGAGAATCTGAGATAACAAGGTGTAGAGCTGGATGAACACAGCAGGCCAAGCAGCATCAGAGGAGCAGGAAAGCTGACGTTTCGAGTATAAATCTGTCTTTGTGTGCGTTGCTGTCTGTCTTTCTTTGTATCAAAGCATAATAAAGCAAAACTTCCATTTTATTGTAGAACTTCAGAAAATAGTTATGTTTGTCAGGTCGTTCTCTACCTGCTTTTTTTTTGGTAAATTATTTTCAGTTCATTTTATTTACATTTAATGATGAAGTTCCTATACTTTAAGAAAATTAGTGGCCCACATTTGGTGACACAGTGCTGAAATGGATCTCGAATTGCCATAGGTTGCTGGGGAAAACTCCATTAGATGTTGGTGAGTAATTGTAGGTGTACAGTTTTCCCTTCTTGTCAGCACTACATGTAGTTTTGAAATCCATGCAATTTGTTTCGGTTTACTTTCAACATCCTTTTTTTCAGAGCTTCACTGACTTGAAGAGATTATTTTCTCAAGTGCATACACAAAGTGATTAATCACTTATTGTGTCTTGTCATAAATAATGCATCTGTCTTCCAGTACTTTTGACTCTTGTTGCGCCATCTTTGTTTTTGTTTGTAGGATCATGCTTAGACAAGGGTATTGATTTAAATCGCCACTTTGTTCTGGAAGGAGAAGGAGTTGTCATTAGCTGTCCTGAATTGGAATTGGAAACATCTGAGAATACACCACAGAACTACAGCGTGATGTGGTATAATAACAAAACATCTGAAGTAATTACAGCAGACAACAAGGAAAGGGTACATGTGGAGGATGATTTGCTTTGGTTCCTTCCGGTATCATTGGAAGAGAGTGGCTCCTATGTCTGTATTATAAGGTAAGCTTTCATTATTCTCTTTTAAGTGTTGAGATGGTACAGTCTGTAGCTGTGCCTTCTCGGCCAAATTTTCCTCTGTGTTTTCCTCTAAGACCATCTCTAGTTTCCAGCCACTTGGACAGCATTGTGTAGGAACACTAGTACAGCTAAGAGCAGCAAGGGAATGCTCTGGAGTGATTTAATGCTTTTGTAAGCTGTAGACATTATTCACTTTAAAATTTTGGCTTGAAATGTTTTTGTTGTAGAAAATGTTTTTCTACATTGCCTTTGTGGCCAGGTACACACTGATGCTAAAGATAGTGCCCTTATGTTAGTGTGATTGCGCAGTATGAAACAGATCACCGCAAGCCTTGACACCTACTCTGCGAAGTACTGCAGGATACCTGCAAATATAGTGAAACTAATCTTTCAGCATACCAGTAATTATACCAGTCACATTCATTATGGCAGGATTTCTATTTGATTCATTCATAGGATGTGGGTATCACTGGCTAGGCCAGCATTTATGTCCCATTCCTAGTTTACCTGGAGAAGTTGGTGGTGAACTGCCTTCTTGAACCACTGTAGTCCAGATGGTATTATTTCATCCACAGTGCTGTTTGTGAGGGAGTTTCAGTGTTTGATATGACAATATGGTTCTAAGTCAGGGTGGTGAGTGACTTAGAGGGGAGCTTGCAGGTGGTGCTGTTCCCATGTATCTGCTGTCTTTGTCTTGCTAGATGGAAATAGTCACAAGTTTGGAACGTGCTGCCTAAGGATCTTTGGTGAATTTTTGCAAAGCACCTTGTACAAAGCACACACTGCTGCCACTGTGCATTGGTGGTGCAGAGAGTGAATGTGAGAGGTATTAGCTGTGGTGCTAATCAAGTATGCTGCATTCTCTGAATGTTGCCAACCATTTTGTGTTGTTGAAGCTGCACTCATCCAAGCAAGTGGAGTCACACTCCTGATTCTTGCCTTGCAGAAGTCAGACGACTTTGGGGCATGAGTTACTTGCTGCACGGTTCTGAGCATCTGACCTGCTCTTGAAAAAAGCCTCATTTATATGGTCAGTCTATTTCCTTTTCTGGTCAAGGGTAACCTCCAGGATGTTGATTGTGGGGGATTTAGCAATAGAAATGCCTTTGAATGCCAAGAGGTATCTTTAGAGTCTCTTTTGTTCGAAATGGTCATTGCCTGACATTTGTGTAGTGTAAATATTACTTACCACCTATCAGTCCAGGACTGGTTGTTGTCTCAGTCTTCCTGCATTTTGATACGTACTGCTTCAGTATCAGAGGAATCACCAATAAGTGCTGAACATTGTGCAATCATCTGTGAATATTCCCACCTCTGATTTTATGATGGAGGGCAGGTCATTGTTGAAACAACTGAAGGTGGTTGGACCTAGGACCTCATTACCCTGAGGAACTCCTGCAGAGATGTCCTGAGGATGGGTTGATCAGTCTCCAACAGTCACATTAATCTTCCTATGTGCCATGTATGACTCTCACCTTTGAAAGGGTTTTCTTCCAATTTCCATTGGCTCCACTTTTTTTCTGGGATTTGTGATGCCTCACTGATGCATGTTCTGCACTAGGACTTTAACTATGTGGTCAGCAGATACCCCTTGCCTCTCTGTGGCTTCAGGCTTGCCATGTTGACTCAAATGGACTTACAGCATCCTCTGTTGCCATCAAGACTGTTACCAGGATACTGAGCATTGACCTACATTAGTCTCTGACTATGTTTCCATACCAGCTGAACATGAAGGGGAAGATAGTGTCACTGCACTAGTAAACAATCACCTAGACTAATGTTGTAGAGGCATGGGATTGATCCTCATCATGGTAGATGGTGAAATTTGAATGCTTTAAAATGCTTTAAAGCTGGCCTAAGGACGACGTTTTTTTTTGGTTCACGAACATCCTTTAGGAAACAAAATCTGCCAACCTTACTTGTTCTGGTTTGAAGTAGCAGCTCTGGTATACAGTTGGGGAGGAGTTGCCTTGGAATCCTCAAAGTTGACTCTGGACCCCATGAAGTCTCATGGTATCAGGTCAAACAAGGGCAAGGAAACCTCCTGCTGATTACCAAGTTTCTGCTGCCCTCAGCTGATGAATCAGCACTTCTCCATGTTGAACACCACTTGAAGGTAGCACCGAGGATGACAAAGACACAGATGCAGAATGTAGTCTGGGTGGAGAATTTCAGTGTTTCAAGTAACACTGGCTTGGTAGCAATGCTACTGACCAAGTTGGCTGAATCTGAAAGGACATAGCTGCTAGACTGGGCCAGCAGCAGGTGGTGAGGAAACTAACAAGAGGGAACAATTTACTTGACCATGTCCTCACTGATTTGCCTGTCGTAGAGGCATCTGTCCACAACAGCATGAGTAGGAGTGACCGCTGCATGTTTGTTGTGGAGCTGAAGTCTACTTTTGAAATTGAGGACACCCTAAACTATCTCACAGTAAATGGGGCAGACTTCAAATGGATCTAGAAACTCGAAAGTGAGCATCCACAAGGTACTGTGGGCCATCAATAGCAGCAGAAATAAGTTCAAACACAATCTGTAACATCATGGCCCAGCATATTCCTACTCCACCAATCTGGTTCAACAGAAGGTGCAGGGGGATAGGCCAGGAGCTGCACTGGGTGTATGTAAAGATGAGATGACAATCTGATGAAGCTTTAACACAGCTTGACCTGCATGCCAAATGGCAGAAGCTGCATATAGTAGATAAAACTAAGCAACCAATGAATGAGATCTTAGCTCAGCAGTTGAGCCACATCCAATTGTAAATGGTGGTAGACAATTAAGCAACTAACTGGTGGTGGAGGGGCAACAAATACCCCCATCCCCAACAATAGGAGAGTCCAGCACATCAATACTAAGGATGAGACATTTGCATCCACTTTCTGCCACAAGTATGGAGTGGACGATCCATCTCAACTTCTGCGGGGATCCCCAGTATCATAGATGCCAGTCTTCACCCAATTCGATTCACACCATAAATATCAAGAAATGGCTTAAGACATTAGATGCTGCTCAGGCTTTGGGCCCTGACAACATTCTGGCAGTAGTGCTGAAGACTCGTGCTTCAGAACTAGCCATACCCTAATCAGGCTGTTCCAGTATAGTTACAACACTGGTATAGAAGCATAGAAGATAGGAGCAGGGGTAGGCCATTCAACCCCTCGAGCCTGCTGCGCCATTCATTGTTTCGTAGCTGATCATTGAGCTCAGTACCCTAATCCTGCCCTCCACCATGTCCCTTGATCCCTTTAGCCTCAAGAACTGTATTTACCTCCTTCTTGAAAAAGGCATCCACCTGATAATGTGGAAACTTGCTAGTTATATCCTGTACACTAAATCCGTGGCAGTAAGTAGTCTGGTAGGAATTGTCCTATCAGTCTACTCTGGACCAGAACCAAACTGATAGAAAGGGTCATCAACAATGTCCTCAAGTGGCATTTGCAAAGGAATAATCAGATGCTCAGGATGGGTGGCATGATGGCTGGGTGTTAGCACTGGTCTTTTTATTCATTCACAGGATGAAGGCATTGCTAGCTAGGCCAGCATCTGTTACCCAGAAGGCATTAAGAGTCAACCACATTGCTGTGAGCCTGGAGCCACATGTAGGCCAGACCAGGTCAGGATGCCCCTAAAGGGCAGTGGTGAACCAGATGGATTTGTCTGACAATCATTAGTGGTTTCATGGTCATCATCAGACTCTTAATTCCAGATTTTTATTGAATTCAAATTCCACCATCTGCCATAGTGAGATTTGAACCCAAGTCTCCAGAACCTTACCTGGGTTTCTGGATTAAACTCCAGCGATAATACCACTAGGCTATCACCTCCCCACTGCTGCCTCACAGCGCCTGGGATCTGGATTCGATTCCAACCTTGGATGACTGTGTGGAGTTTGCATGGGTTTCTGCCCTGGGCTCCGGTTTCTGCCCTGGACTCCAGTTTCCTCCCACAGTCCAAAGATGTGTAGGTTAAGTGGATTGGTAAAATGTCCATAGTGTCCAGGATGTGCAGGTTAGGTGACTTAACCATGGTAAATGTGGGGTTGTGGAGAAAGGGAATGTTGATGCAGATTCGATGGACTGAATGGACTCTTTAAACACTGTAGGGATGCTATGATTCTGTGATCCTGACCTTATTACAGGCTTCATCCAAATGCAGACAAAAGAACTGAACTCCATGGGTGAGAATAACTTTCGTGACATCAGTGCAGCATTAGCCGAGTGTGACATCATGGAGTCCCAGCAAAACTGGAGTCAGTGCAAATCAAGGGGAAAACTCTCTGCTGGTTGGAGTCACGCCTTACACAAAGAAACATGGTTGTGGTTGTTGGAGATCAACTATTACAGCCTCAGGACATTTCTGCAGGAATTCCTGAGGATATCTTTTCTAACTAACCTGTCAAGGATGTTCTACATATCACTGGAACAGGTGGATTTTTAACCCAGGATTCCTGGCTCAGAGGTAGGGACACTACTTCTGTACCACAGGGGCCTGCACGTATTCCAGAAAAATTTTCCATTCATCCTGTTCAGAGATGTTATTACACACCTCAAGAACAGATGGGACTTGAACCAGGGCCTCCTGGTCAGACGTAGTTGCATCACCACAGTACCATAGTTGCCTGCAGGCATTCATGAGGATAGTTCTAGACACAATGATCTTCAGCTATTTCATTAATGAGCTTCGTCATTTGCTCAGAAGTTGGGATGTTCACACATGATTGTACAATGTTCAGCACCATACGAAGCTCCATAGATACTACTGCAGTTCGTGTCCATTTGCAAAAAGACCTGGACAACATCCAGGCTAAGGCTGACAAGTGGCAAGTAATATTCACACAACTCAAGTGACCATCTCCAATAATAGAGAATCTAATCATCTCCTCTTGATGTTCAGTGGCGTTACCATTGGTGAATGTCCCTTTACCAACATCCTGGGAGTTACCATTCAGTAGAAAATGAACCCAATTGACCATATAAGAACTGCAGCCTGAAAAGGAGGCCAGAGGCTCAGAATTCTGCAGTAACTCTCCTTTTAATCTTACCAATGTCTGTCAACCATCAAGATATAAGTCAGGAGTGTGATGGAATACTGTCCATTTTGCCTACACGAGTACTGCTCCAAAAAAACTCAGGAGGCTTGACACCATCCAGGACAAAGCAGGCTACATGATTGCCACTACCTCAAACATTCACTAGTTCTACGATTGACACACACTCGGAGCAGTCTACAAGATATACTGCAGAAACTCAACAAGACTTCTTACAAAGCACCTTCCAAATTCACGACCTCTACCTCCTAGAAAGACGAGGGCAGATTTTTTGAGGACATTACCAAAAAGATTGATGAGGGCATGGACTTTGGTAAAGCCTTTGACAAGGTTCTGCATGTAGAGTGATTAGTAAAGTTAGATCACATGGGATTCAGGGAGAGCTTGTCAATTGGATACAAATTTGGCTTGATGTTAGGAGACAGAGCGTGGTGGTGGAGAGTTGTTTTTTGGACTGGAGATCTGTGACCAGCGGTGTACCATAGGAATCTATGTTGGGTCCACTTGTTTGTCATTTATAAACGATTTGGGTGAGAATTTAGGAGGCATGGGTAGGAAGTTTGTGGATGACACCAAACTTGGTGATATAGTCGACACTGAAGAAGGTTATCTAAGGTTACAAAGGGATCATGATTAATTGGGCCAATGGGCTCAGAGAGGCAGATGGTGTTTAATTTGGATAAGTGCGAGATATTGCATTTTGGTAAAACAGACAAGGGCAGGATTTGCACAGTTAATGGAAGGGCCCTGGGTGGTGTTGTTGAACAAAGGGACCTATGGGTTCAGGTGCATAGTTCTTTGAAAGTTGTTCCACAGACAGACTGGGTTGTTAAGAAAGAGTTTAGTATGCTTGCCTTCGTTGCTCAGACCGTTGGGTATAGGAATTGGGATGTCATGTTGAGGTTGTAAATGATGTTGGTGTGAGGCCTCTTTTGGAGTACTGTGTACAGTTCTGGTCGAAAAGCTATAGGAAGATATTATTAAATTGAAGAGGGTTCAGAAAAAATTTACCAGGAAGTTGTCAGGATTGAGGGGGGCGTTTGTGTTATAAGGAGATGCTGGAGTGTAAGAGGTTGGGGGAGTGACCTTATTGTAGTTTATAAAATCATGTGGGCCATAAATAAGGGGAATAGTAAAAGTCTTTTCCCTAGGGCGTGGGAGTTCAAATCTAGGGGGCATGTTTCTAGGGTGAGAGGAGAAAGATTTAAAAGGGACCTGAGGGGCAACTGTTTCACACGGGGTAGTTTATATGTGGAATGAATTGCCGGAGGAAGTGGTGCATGCAGGTACAGTTACAACATGTAAAAGAAATTTGGACAGGTACACGGATAGGAAAGGTTTAGAGGGATGTGGGCCAAACGCAGGCAAGTGGGACTAGTGTAATTTGGGAAACTTGGTCGGCATGGACAAGATGGACCGAAGGGTCTGTTTCCGTAGGACTCTATAGCAGTTGATCTATGAGAATAGCAGCAGCTACATGTTCCACTCCAAACACACAATCCTAACTTGGAACAATGTCACTGATTAACTGTTTGCTGGGTTTAAATCCTACAGCTCCCTTTCTAAAGGTACTGGGACTTTTCCCACGCTCCAAAGACTTCAGCAGTTCACCTTGTCAAAGGCAATCGGGGATGAGCAATAAATGCTTGCCTAGCCAGCGTTGCCACACCCATGAATGATAAATGAAAGTCCCTTTTTCTTCCGTTCACTGGAAGAATTGTCATGTGATATTGCAACGTGATGTGTGTGCAGTGAGTTTCCCCATGTAGAGATCTGGAATCTTGCTCCCCTGCTTGCCTGTGGTAAGAAAGAATGAAATGTAGTCTGCTCTCTGTTGAATAGACAGCCTCAGTGACTTACCTTGCTCAACAGTGGACTGCAAGAGGTTGTAAACATCTCCAGCTCCAGCCTGGAAAGTGCCAGACATGCACAAATTCATTACTTGTGTCCTGTTTCCAGGCACAGGCACTGTGATCCTTGCTGTCGTGCAAGGTTGATGCTTGAAATTAGAGCCCTTCAAATACCACAAACATGATTGTGTTTTATCAATTCTTTCTGGAAGGTATTGTTAAAAAAATAAATGCATGATTTACATATTTTCTCCTTTAACTATTCAGTAAAACATTTTTTGTTGAAAAGTTAGCTCAATTGGCTGGATGACTGGTTTGCAATGCAGAATGATGCTAACAACGTGGGGCCAGTTCCCGTACTGGCTGAGGTTACCAAAAAACTCCTGTCTTCTCGATCTCACCCCTCGCCAGAGGCATGGTAATCCTCAGGTTACCTCACCATCAGTCATCTCCCTGTCTAATGGGAGAACAGCCCTATGGTCCTCTGAGACTATAGTGACATTTTTTTGTCTTTAGTTTAAACAACTCACCAATGTGTTAGTAATTTCATGTATTAAAACCATTCTAACGCTTCATTCACTTGCAGGTATCCAACATCTTGCGTCAAAATAACTGTTTCATTAACAGTTACTAACTCTACCAGTGTATCATGCTTCCAGAATAGATTTTCCTACGGGATGACTTCACATTCAAGGACTTCTAAAAGACTTCCTTGTCCGGAGATCAGCAATTATATAACCTCAGATGAATTTGAACTAACTTGGTACAAGGTAAGGAAAATATAGTGTAGTATCTTTAAGCTTAATATTTTCTGGTTTACTGCTGTAAGTTGCTGCATTACCCAAATCAATTTAGACACAGAGTCAAGAATGGGATAGATTGCTGACCACTTGCCTGGATGAGTGTAGCTCCAACAATACTTGAGAAGGTTGATACTGTCCAGGACATAGCAACCTGCTTGATCACCCTCTTTAACTTTTCACTCCCTCCATCACGAATGAATGATGTTTGCAGTGTGTGCCAGTCTACAAGATCCACAGCAGCAACTCACTAAGGGTCTTTCAACAAAACCTTCCAAATTGCATGTCTATCACTGAGAAGAAGAAGAAGGGCTTCAGGTGCCTGGGTACGTCGCCACTCACAAAGTCCCCTCCAAGTTGCATACAATCCTGCTTTATAACCACGGCCTGGGTTTTTGCTCTTGAGGCAGTTCCTCAGAGCCAGGAAATCTCAGCAGAAGCTCTGTCCCAGGGAGATGAGAGCAGGTTGGAGTCAGGCCCCTCTTTCCTGGCTGCAGATTGGTGGTGGCCGCGAGACCTGCCACATACTGAGGCAGGCTGTTTTAAAAAGTCTGCCTCGGTTCTCTGGAACATCGCCCAAGCTATTTTGTTAAATGTTTGATCCTCTGGGCTTCAATCCTCACATTGCTTCACAGCCCCAAATGTCGCTGGAACAGCTATGGGGACGTAGGTTCAAATCCTACAATGGCAGCTGGGAGAACTTGAATTCAGTTAATGTACTGAATCAATAGTTAATTTCAGTTGCTTCAGTGAAGCTATCATTGATTATCATTGATTATCATAAGCACCCACTTGGTCTACTAATGCTCTACAAAACAGGAAATCTATCATCCTTACCTGGTCTGGCCTACATATGGCTCTAGACCTAGTTGTAGTGATGTAGTTGACTCTTGATGACCCTCTGAAATGGCCCTGCAAGTCAGTCAATTCAAGGACACACAAGTCATGAATAATACAGAGTAATACAACACCCCTTGTACATGGCATCTGTTACCCCCAAAAACACCCAGCACCTAGTACACTCTTCATGCTAAGTCACCCAGAATCTACTGTAGCAGATCTCCGGAGCTATGCTGAAATGAAATAAAACTCTACATATTTATTACAGACATCACTATATATTTTTAAAAAACATTTTTCTTTACAAAATCCCCTTCAATGCGTTTAGATTCCCTGAAGTACTTAATCTGTTCAGAAAAAGAAAAACAAACAGTTGGATTCAGAAACCACATGAAACATTGCTAACTTTTTAATAACCTTTTAAAGCTGTTAGTCAAACTCGGAACCTGCAGCCTCCCCATTGTGATATTTGGTACGTGTGGAAAGCCCTCATGCAGCGATAATGCTATATTGAGATGCAGGGGTTATATAAACAGGCAGCTATTGAAAATAAAAGCACAAATTTCTTTTCAAACCAGACTCAGACAGAGTATCTTCTAATTTTAAAAAAAATTTGAAATAACTTGACAGTTTGGCTGTTCTACAGCCTGTATCTGCCCTTTATGAGCATTTATCTCTGCTGTAAAAGTTGGTAACTCTCACACCATGAGATAAGACCTATGCTACAGCAAAGATTAGGTCTGTTTCAACTCCACGCTGCTGTGAAATAGCCTGCTGAGTTGGGGTTTCTTGCGTATGTCTGTCCTGACTGGCCCCCTTCCCATTACTGGCAGAAATAGGATCTGTTTAACCTGGTGCTTCAACTTCCAAGTCTGGGTTCTGTCTGCCATTTTAAAAGGTTCCTGAAATCTGCGCCACTCTGCAAAAATCTATCACAAAAAAAACCCTAAAGGCCTATATCATTGTTTTGTCGCTATTGCTGGTTCAAGATCCTGGCATTTCCATCCCTAACTCTCCTCAGGTCCTCAGAATGGACTGTGGTGGTTCTGAAGGCAGCTTATGATGGACTTCTGAAAGGCAGTTAGGAAAGGACAATAAATGCCAGCAACGCTAGAAATGTTCAAACCTATAATTTTTTTTATATAAGAAGGAAGCATTTCCTAATGACTGTGCTGAGGTTACACTGAAACAGAACTGGAACTATTATACTGATTAAGCATAGACTGGACATGTTCCTATTTTCGCAGATGGAAAGCTCCTAGTGGGCTGGCACAAGGAAGTACATAACACATAAGGAAATGGTCTTTGTTGTATTTCTTGCAGTTTAATCTGAAGGAAAAAAAATTGGACAATCATGTTAAACTCTGGCATTCAAATTAGAGTATCAAAAGGACACTGATAAGAAAAATGATTCTGTAAGCATTCTGTGTGCATTTTGAACAGATGGGAATAATTTTTCATTTTTTACATGGTTCTTGTTGGTTTTGAGGCTGTTGACCTGGTAATGATATTTCTGATGCCAAGTAAAAAAGGTTTAGCAAGGAACCAACGCTGGGCAATAAAAGTCAGTGGATCTTTGTGCAGGTTGATGTCCCACTCTGCTGGAGGGTGACCTGGCTGGATATTCCAGGATAGTAAAACAAAGAGCTATGGATGCTGGAGACATGAGACATGCAAAAGCAGAAATTGCTGGAGAAACTCAGCAGCTCTGGCAGCATCTGTGGAAAGAAAACGGTTAGCGTTCCGAGTCCAGTGACATCTCTTCAGAACTCAGGCTGGTGCTTTGTAAATAGATCACTAATTGCCTGGTTGCTGTTTAGTGAACGTTGAAGGATGTGGCTGAAATCATTTTACTTGCTAGTGATGTGTGTTTGGGTGTTGTGTACCTTGCCAGCCTTGGTAGTTGGAGGAATTGATGTGAATGTTGAAAATCATTATGGCAGAAACCTGTTTAACTTCCAAATGTCTTGTGAACACTGTTTGCAAGATCTCAATTCTGAGGGATTATTACTGAAATTTATTGTTCAAAATTTGTCAATTTAAGGAATTTGAAGTGCCTGTTCTTGCTTTGCTGTCCATGTTTTGTATCCAATTTAATTTTTTGAGACCAATTAAAGTTAATCAGACTCTGAATCCCTGCAAATCTCTGAAAAATTCCTCAAAACATCACACGTGTGTAGTTAAAGTTATTTTAATTAACCTGTTTGGACACGCTGTGACACATCTCTGGGGCAGGTGATACTTGACTCTAGGGATACTACCACCATGCCAAAAGACCACTTATATATGTGATTATCAATTGAGTATTGGCAGTGAACAAGATCAGACTGGGGGATGCATAAGGGAAATCATAGTCAAATGCAATGCTTGAATGGTGAGCCCCTTTATTTTGTAACTGATACCTTTATTTTCTTTTTAACATTGAGGTTTTTCAGCTAATTTTTAAAGTTTATGTTGACCTTAAACCTTTTTCTAATGAATAACTCATTAAATTGCAGCATGTGTTGCTAACAGATTTATCCCATTTTGGGTGAGGCACTAGTGAAAGCAAGCCAAAAACTATGATGCCTTATTTTTGCTGTCTGTACCTGTGTAATCTTAAAATGGGACAGAAACAAGTGAGCCGTACTCCCGATCAAAGAAGGTGAGAGACCACTTAAATATGCAAAAAGAGGTTTGGTACACAATAAGATGTTGGTGTTTCACTGAAGAAAAACCGAAGTAATAGGAGCAGAGTTAAGCATGTTTGTTTCATCTTTCAACAGTAGCCAATATCTAATTCCCTTTGCAGCCACTTCCACTAGGTGGAACATGAGGTCTATTTATTAATGTCTGTGGAAGAATACTTTGAAAACTTTGCAGGAATGATTTTTGTGCTATTGGGAAAAGCAGAAAAGCACTTCCCAGTGCTGCAAAATTTTCTTTGCACATTGCCAGTTCATCTGCATTGTCTTCCCCTCCAGCTTCCCTTCACTGCCCGCCCATAGAGCTTCAGCTGATGTATCAGTTCTTACTTCCCCATCTTTTATGGTTTCTCCACCCAGGAACTCCAAGGCTGCTTCTGCGTGAGTGGGTTGAGGTTTGGGGCATCATTTCTTTATGGGCAATCTTTCCCCGTTGACATTGACTTGGTTATTGTGGATCGTAATCAAGCCTAGGTAATGACATGAAAACCATAATAAAGGGAGAACAAGCTAAACCATGACATATTACATGAGATGGTTAGTGAAGTGAATGCAGCAAAGAAATGACTGAGGCAATGGGTGCAGCAGCATCTTGCTGAGGTGGATTTATTGGAAGTTATGAAAACAGTCTCAGCCTGTGGAGCATTGTGGTGAGCTGTTAAAGCACGTACACACAATAATGGGAAAATGAAGTTCACCGTCTATTTGAAAAGTGCCCTTGGTCCCTTTTCACATTACGAGAGTTGGTGAGGTCATGACATTTGTTATGGCGCAATCATTCCTATGTGGAACTGAAAGTGACCTGCCTGCCTGCTGTGCTACTGCCTCTTGTACTAAAATATTGGTTTCCTCCTCTGCTTACTTAGACAAAAAAAATGTTTCATTGCTGCACCTTTGCATGTGGGATTTGTTGTTTTGCCTTATATTTCCAGCACCTAAATTTTCCTGACTTCACTCCTCTGAGTTCATCTGCTGTTGAAACATTTATTCAAGCCTTTCTTAATGTGTAGGCATCAAAAAATTCTGCTATCTTGTTTTAACTCTTAGGTCACATTCCCATTCCCATTCCCATTCCCCTATTTTTCCTCTGTGCTTGCTGATCTGAATTAGCTATTGATCAAACACGCCTTAACTTGAAAATTCTCATCCTGCTTCTCAAATGCATTCATGGCCTTTCGCCATCCACTCTCTGTGATCTCTTGAGCCACAGTGCTCTGAGATATCTGCACTCCTCTAATTTGGCCTCTTGAACAATTATAATTTCCTCAACTTTGGTGGCTGTGCCTTCAGTTGTGAACACCACAAGTTCTGGACTTCCCTCCTTTCATCTCTCTGCTTCTCTTTCCTACTTCAAGGCACTCCTGAAAACGTAGCAGTTTGGTTAAGCTTTTGATCATCTGACCTAATAACTGCTTATGTAGCTCAGCGTCATACGTAGTAGTCTTATGAAGCACCTTGGAATGTTTCGTTGCCTTAAAGATACTACGTGAATGTGAGTTGTTTATATAAATTATTCAGACACGATCTGCTAAGCTTTTCTCAGAGCAAGTGCATTTTACAATTCCTGGTGTGTTACTTTTAAAAGGAAACAGTATCCACCCTAACAACAACAATCACCTAGCGAGTGGGATTTCAGGTCCATTCCAGATCAACAAAAGGCAGGTGCACATTTTGGTCTGCCCTTTATCCACATAGGATTTTGCTAAAGCAAGATGTCTGGTCTAGGGGAACCGTGACACTATCATTGTAATCGTGAATAATTTTATTTTCAGGATTGTAAACCTCTTTCAAATGGAGAAAAATATAGGTACCATAAAAATGACCAGTACCTTACTATAACAAATGTGGAGCCATCAGATGAAGGAATGTATGTGTGTGAGCTGCAGTTTTTGCATGATGGTTTGCAATACAGAACAGCACGAACCATTGACTTTGATGTTAAAGGTAAGTTCGTGTTCCAACACAATACCTGCTTCTCTTGGAAGAGGTAGGTGGAATTTCTTAGTGAAAGTACTGTACTATTATGATTGATGGTATAAATATAGACTGTAAACTTTCAAATATTTTTTGCCTATCATTCTTTTAAAATTCAGCTTGATTATTTGCAAAGCAAATTATGACCATTACCAGACAAAGTCTCAATTGCATACAACAGCATTTTTGCACGGCTACCAACTACATCAGCATGATGGCACCCCCCCAAATCCTACAAATACCTTTGCTGTGCTTCTGGAAATTGCTGTTTCCAAGAAATTGCGATGATGGCAACGGTTAAAAACTATATTTGTTTTTTTTTCTCATTCTCAAGACTAGACATTTCAACATTTATTTAGGGTCAGAAGTAATTGTTAAATCAGAAAAAAAGACAACCTGTGTATTGTTCTTATCTGAGAAAAGCTCGCTGATCTTTTTTCTAGAATTTTAAATACTTGTGAAGGTCCTAACAATTTAATGGATTACAAACATTTTTAAAACCTGATGAATAAATGGTTAACCATTAGATGACAGATGATTGGCTCCTGACTAGTTGTTTGACAAAAACAATAACACCATCTAGTGGAATAGATTAGCTATTCATCACCAGTTCATGCCTTTCTGATATTCTGATTATGGTATATAAAAAAAAATATAGTGGAATATTCAGAAATGTACCTTTCATTTATATACACAGAAAATTGTAAAAAAAAGTTTTTAAATTCTTGTTAAATATACTGATTGTCAATCAAACATAATTCCACCAAGTTGTTTTTCTTTTTGCTTACGGGAAGTTGTTGTTTTTATAGGCTGTAAAGCTAGTGTTGGCCCGAAAATTGTACAACCAAAAAATGGTACAATTGAGCTTGAACCTGGTAAGTACTTTTTGAGAAAAAGACAAAGCTACCTTTTGCCACACATCATGACTACCTGTTCCTGATCTAGCTCCTCCTTACTGCCTTTCCCCAACTCCCTGTGAAAGCCTAGATTGAAGGCTTATTTTTGTAATAAACTATGATTTAAAATTCCTGCTGTTCATGATGATAGTCCAGGACTGGTTGATTATCAGAAATATTCTGGGGCTGACCTTTCAAAAGGCTTTCCCATGATCAGCAATACAATCAATGTTCATTACTTTAGTCTGATGGCTGTAGCAGGTGTTTTAGGTGCATCTTGCTTTTCTGCCCCTGACTGATCTGAGTTGAAGAAGTTAAGATCTTTTAAAGGAATGTTTGGAGGTGCTGTGCAATGTCTCTTCAAGTAACTCTGCTAGGTAGCTTGAATTGATGTTTTTCTATTCATTCATGGGGACGTGGGCATTGCTGTCTGGATCAGCACTTATTGCCCATCTCTAGTTGCTGATGAGAAGGTGGCTGTCTGTTGCCTTATAGAACTGTGCAGTTCATTTGCTGTAGATAGACCAACAACGCTATTAGGGAGGAAATTCCAGAATTTTGACCCAACAGCACTAAAGAAATGGCAATATATTTCCAAGTCAGGATTGAGAGTTGTTATGGATGGTAGTGGTTGTGAATTTGGATGATGCTGTCTGGGGAGCCTGAGTGAATTTATGCAATGCATCTTGTAGATGGTACACACTGTCGCTACTGAGTAGTGGTGGTATAGGGAGTGAATGTTTGTGCTATAATACTAGTTGTTGAATACCTAACATCTTTGCTTTTTTTGCGCATCACTGTGATCACAATTTCTAGCATATCAGGAAATGATTCGCTAAAAAACTTTGCGAAAAGGTCAGTTATTGCAGCCACATTATCATATCATTTCTTAGAGCCTGGTGAATGTATTTTGGGATACAAGTTACATTGCACCATTTTATGTTCTTCTGTTTGGATCAGGAATGTGGTGTTGGGGTTCCATCATCTTTTTCAAAGCATTAGTTTGCAGGTTTTCAAGGTGGAAAATTTACTTCAGCAGGGGATCATGTGAAGTTATTGTATTCTTCCATGATAAACACATCGTTGATACAATGAATAAAGATCGTGAGGATTATTTCTGGGATGCTGAGACCATGTAACTGAAATGGCTTGCTGTGCTATAACAAATTGAATTTCCATTAGGAAAGCATCTCTCTCAAAGAACACCACCGACTGACAGGTAATGCAGCAGTCCCGTTGAAACAGGACTTTGAACAAAAAAACCCACATTTTGGTCTAAGATTCTTTAAAGCCTCATGTAACACACTCCACACCCTACAAATTGATGACAGCTCCCTCCTCCTCATGAAGGCACTTTCTCCAACCACCGCCCACCCCCCCGCCCCCCCGCATCCCAGTTGATTACAAATATTACCAACTGCAACTGTATTATGTTTAAAAATTGCGTTATACTTAATTGCTTCAGACTACCGTACACAAACAGCAGAGGGAGTCAGCTGTGTATGCTGAGTATCGGCCAGGTAAACTGAACTCAGTGGAGTTGTCTATTTGACATCTGTTGCCAACAGCCAGTTCTACTAGTCATGAGAAAAGGGTTGACAAACAACATTTTAACAATCCTAATTCTAAATGTACTGCCCAAGTTGCAAAACTGGCCGATATCGAAACAGCAAGAAAACAAGATTTGATGTTACAACTGTGTAAAACAGCTGTGAAGTCATAAAACTGGAAATTATTTGAGGTTACTGGTTGTTGAGTTAGCACCTAGAGATCACCAGGAAACATCAAAACCAATGGCTCAAAATCAACCAGTGCTTGATGTCGATCAATCACAATTGTCAAATCTTTATGATCATTTCTCAAAATCTCAGCTTTTCTAAGAGAATGGATTGAAGTTACGAGGTTCAGTCCACCGATTACAGAGGGGTTTGTCTCATGAAGACAGATTGAACAGTTTAGGCCTATACTCTCTAGAGTTTAAAAGAACGAGAAGAGATCTAATTGAGGTTTATAAGACGATAAAGGGGATTGACAAAGTCGATGTAGAAAGGATGTTTCCTCATGTGGGGAAATCTAGAATAAGAGGTCATAGTTTGAACATAAGGGGTAGCAGATTTAAAGCAGATCAGGAGAAATAGCTTCTCTCAAAAGGTTGTGAATCTGTGGAACTTAGTACCCCAGTGTGCAGTGGATGCTGGGACACTGAATAAACTTAAAGAGGAGATAGACAGATTTTTAATTAGCAATGGGTTAAAGTGTTCTGGAGAGCAGACAGGAAAGTGAAGTTGAGGCTGAGATGAGATCAGCCATGATTATATTAAATGGTGGAGCAGGTATGAGGGGCTGGATTGACCACTCCTGAGCCTAGTTCTTATGTTTTTGTGTAGTTAGAATTGAATCTGCAAATTTGCCCACTGGTGAAGACCTGCAAATTGTCAAAAATGACTACAGCAGACGTGGTGGAAATAGTTATGTCTGTTTCAATGAAAGCTGTAACCATGTAGCTTCATCAGATTTCCAACTTGCTTGGAATCGATCATAAGGTGAGAGGTGTCAGTGGATCCCCATTCAACAATGCTACATTCAGTAAATGTGCAAACAACCTGGGTTGCACTCATTGAAGTATCAAATTCCCTTGCTGATCAACTAATGGAGAGGTCAAGAGATTTATGTGTACCTTTTAAAAAAAAACATGCCTACAGTTATAGCTAAGAGCAAATTATGAAGGCAAGTGTGTCCACAATTGTGCCGTTTGTCCATAATTACAATATAACATTTCACTTAACTTCTGGAAAACCTCCAGCTGCACTCATCTTTGTATATCATATGCACATGTGTCTTCTTGAGCTACTCTGTGGAGCTAATGATCAACATGTATGTGAAGGAGATGTATGGAAACATTAAAGTTATAAACTGTAACCATACTTCTTCAGTCTCTTTCTAGTTAGAATTCCAGACTTTATTCTATCCATGAGTTGACCTTTCCTCTATTTAATGGAATTTGGATTTTTCTGTGAGATGATTTTGTCAAAAATTGTTTAGGTCAGGATGCTTTTGACATTGATGCAGTTCCAATTTTTCATTGTGGTGAATAAGAATGTTTGTATTTCGTTTATGCAGGATCAACATTGAACTTATCTTGCACAGCATATACAGGATATTGTGAGCCTTCAATAACATTAATTTATTGGCTAGTAAATAATACATTTATTGAAGACTATTTCAGTGACCATCTTCAAGTTGAATATAGGTATGCAATTGTTATTTTATCAGGATTTACATGAGCTCATAACTTTTATGAAAGCATACTGACTACAACTTGTTTCATTTGGCTAATGCACATACTTTTTGTTTCTAGTCAGAAGAACAAAGACCAAGGCAACTATCATGAGTCAAGCATAATTCTTCCTAATTTCAAGGAAGAGTATTATAATGAAGCACTTACGTGTGTTGCCAGAAATGGCTTGGGGTATCAAATAGCAACGGTTCAATTTAAAAAAACAGGCAAGTACTTCATTATAACATTACAGAAAGGGCAATTGTCTTCAGTCTTTGGGATCTTGCTCTTCCTGATACAGAGAACTTCCATATATGATTTTTTTACGATGAACTTGCCTTGCATTTTTACTGATCAATATTGAAGACTGATTATAGCTGGCAACCACTGATACATTAATCAGATTTGTTGGTTGGATATCCCTACTATAAAATTATTCATGATTTTCACTTTTTTGATAATGTTGCACTGCTGCATCAGCGATTCCTCAAATACCATTGCAAGTGAGTTACTAAGTGAACATTTTAAGAGAAAAGAGTTTTATTAACTGTGGGATATAAATCGATCATGTGTGTGTTTATCCGACGTAATGAAACGGGACATATGACAAGCTCCAAAGGTCACCAAGTCACTTAATATCTCCAATCCTCTACATTCCTCATTGCCACAATTAGTGTTCATGTTTTAAATGCCTTGGTTCCTCTCACTGGATTTCCTGCACTCAATCATTATATCTTATTTAAAATCTTCCATAAAATCCACCACTTTGTTTAAATGTTTATTTGGACCTCCTCATTGCTCTGGCATAGTGTCTGTTATTTCTTTCTCTTGATGCTTCCATAACATGCTCTAGGTTGTTAAAACAAAATGTAAATGCTTTTCTGCCTACCTCTGTTGTACCGTCAAATTCTGTTTTCATTATCACCATTCAAATCACTAATCTACATCTTGAAGCATATTGAGTTAATCCGATATGTCAGTGACTAGATCCTCGAGTTCAGTTCCCAACATGGTATTGATATTCTTTACCTTAGAAATAGAACAAGATATAACAAATTACCTAATGGCATGCTCTGTGTTTCAGGTGGATTATCACTCCATGCCTTCTTTAAACTCCCTGAAGTATTTCCAAAAGTGAACTATACTTGCTCTTCTGATGTGCAGCTGTGCCAGATTTCTCTCCTGTAATTCCATTCCTACCTGTTCAAATTCTTCCAGCACTTTTCCAGCAGCAGCATCTGTTTCTATTTCCAGTCATCTCTGCAGTCACCGTGGAATTCAGCATTATATGTCCTTGTCTCTGTACCTCTTCATCTAACTGCTACTCCTTAGTGACATGTTTACAGGTAGAAATCAGTTTTTACATGAAGGCTGGTGATTTTCACCTCTCCCCGTCTCCCACTTCTTTTGACTCTAATGGTTATCTCTGTGCAGTTAGACTGGCAGGTCAGGAATGAATGATAGACACATCAACATTTCTCAAGCTGAATGTGGGAAAGATAAGACCATTGTTTTTGACCTCAGCTGTAATGTACTGTCCTTTGTCCTAACACTATTTTCTATTGATTATACATTAATTGTAATGGAATTGAAATAGCATAGAGCTATCTAACTTTAGCTTTGTCTGAACTCATTTTTACCCAAACTTTTGAGTATCTCTTTGTTAGTTCTTTTACTATCCATTTTATTTCTTACTTTTAGTGAACATTTTCATAGAATCCACCACCCCTACCCTATCCTGTAACTCTGCATTTCCCATGGCTAACACACCTATCCTACACATCCCTCAGCACTACAGGGTAATTTAGAATGGCCATTCCACCTAACTTGCACATTTTTGGACTGCGGGAGGAAAATGGAGCACCCAGACGAAATCCATGTAGATACAGGGAGAATGTGCAAACTCCACACGGACAGTTGCCCGAGGCTGGAATCGAAGCCGGGTCCCTGGTGCTGTGAGGCAGCAGTGCTAACCACCTAGTTGCTTCATTTTTCTTCTCTCTATGAAGTGTTTGTGTTTCTTTCATCTAAAATACTTGCAAATTGTTGCTACTATCATTTTCTTTATATCATGTTTGATGCTTTGTTTGTTAAATAATATTGCATTTAAGAGTAGCTAACACTATATGAAATAAAATCCATTTTACAGGAGCAGGAGGAGGCCATTCAGCTTCTCAAACCTGCTCTGCCATTTAATAAGGTCACAGCTGATCTGATTGTACCTCAAATCCACTTTCCCACCTACCCCTGATAATCTTCAGCCCTGTTGCTGAATAATTACAGAGTAAGAACTGCTGGATATGCATAAAGGTGGATAAATCCCTGGGACCTGATGAGATGTATCCAAAAACTTTGTGGGAAGCTGGACAAGTGATTGCTGCGCCCCTGGCTGAGATATTTATATCATCGATAGCCACGGGTGAGGTGCCGGAAGACGGGGGCGGGTGGCTAACGCGGTGCCATCATTTAAGAAAGGCTGTAAGGAAAAGCCAGAGACCTATAGATTGGTGAGCCTTACGTCAGTGGTGGGTAAGTTGTTGGAGGGAATCCTGAGGGACAGGATTTACATGTATTTGGAAGGGCAAGGACTGATTAGGGATAGTCAGCATGGCTTTATGCATGGGAAGCCATGTCTCACTAACTTCATTGAGATTTTTGAACAAGTGACAAAGAAGATTAGTGAAGGCAGTGGAGTGGACGTTGTCTATATGAACTTCAGCAAGGCATTTGACAAGGTTCTGTATGGTAGACTGGTTAGCGAGGTCAGATCACATAAAATTCAAGAAGAGCTAGCCAGTTGGATACAAAGTTGGCTTGAAGGTAGGAGACAGGTGGTGGTGGAGGGTTGTTTTTCAGATTGGAGGACTGTGACCAGCAGTGTGCAGCAAGAATTGGTGCTGGGCTAACTGCTTTTTGTCATTCATATAAATGATTTGGTTGTGAATACAGGAGGCATGGTTAGTAAGTTTGCAGGTGACACCAAAATTGGTCGTGTAGTGGACAGTGAAGAAGGTTACCTCAGATTACAATGGGGGCTTGATCTGATGGGCTGAGGAGTGGCAGATGGAGTTTAATTTAGATAAACGTTGGGTGTTGCATTTTGGTAAGGCAGATCAGGGCAGGACTGGGTCCTAGGAAGTTTTGCTGAACCAAAGAGTCCTTGGTTGCTTGAAGGTGGAGGCAGAGGTAGACAAGGCAGTGAAGGAGGCTTTTGGTATTCTTGCCTTTATTGGTCAGTGCACTGTATATAGGAGTTGTGATGTCATGTTGTGTCTGTACAGGATAACGGTTAGGCCACAATTGGAGTACTGTGTTCAGTTCCAGTCTCCCTGCTATAGGAAAGATGTTGTTAACTTTGAAAGGGTGCAGGAAAGATTTATAAGGATGTTGCTGAGGTTGGAGGATTTGAGCTATAGGGAGAGGCTGAATAGACTGGGGCTATTTTTCCTGGAACATTGGAGGATGAGATGTGACTTTAGAGAGTTTATAAAATCATGAGGGGCATGGATACAGTGAATAGCCGAGGCCTTTTTCCCTGGGTAGGGGAGTCCAAAACGAGAGGGCATAGATTTAAGGTGAGAAGAGAAAGATATAAAAAGGACCTAAGGGGCAACTTTTTCACACAGGGTGGTGCGTGTATGGAATGAGCTGCCAGAGGAAGTGGTGGAGGCTAGTAAAATTACAACATTTAAAAGGAATCTGCGTGGGTGCATGAAACGGAAAGGTTTACAGGGATATGGGCCAAATGCTGGTAAATGGGATTAGATTAATTTAGGAGATCTGATTGGCATGGACGAGTTGGACCGAAGGGTCTATTTCTGTGCTGTACATCTCTACGACTAAATGTCTGTCCATTTCTGCCTTTAAGATATTAAGAGATTCTGCTTTCACTGCCATTTCAGGAAGAGACCTTTAACGACTCGTGACCCTCTATGATAAAACAAAATTACCTCCTCTCTGTTTTAAATTGGTGTCTCCTTATTTTTAACATGGATCCCTCGTTCTAGATTCCCCCATCATAAGAGGAAACATTCTCTTTACGTGTACCCTGCCAAGACCATTCAGGGTCTTGTTTCAATCGAGTCTCCTTTTACTCCTCGAAACTCCAGCAGGTAGAAGCCCAGCCTGTTCAACCTTCCCTCATTAGATGACTCTGTCAATCTAGGTATTAGTCTGGTAACTGAACTGCTTCCCATGTGTTCACATCCCTCCTTGAATATGTTGATCAACACTGTAGCTACTACTCCAGATGCAGTGTTATCAGTGCCTTGTATAATTGAAACATCACCTCTAATTTTATATTTAATTCTCTTCGTAAGAGTGTTCAAATTTGTATATTTTAAAATGAAAAGTCATGACTGGAAATGGAACAGCTTTAGAATACTACTTCTGATAGATAAGATTAAAAACCATAGAATAAATCTTCAAACGTCACGGCAAAGATACAAGACTGTTGGCCTATTAAATTGGCACCAGTGTCTTTCTCTCTACACATTGCATGAAAATGGGGTAAAATTTATGTCCAAATTTCAGGAAACTGTATTTACTGTTGCCTCCTTTTAGTAACCCTCCCAGACTGCTGCAAATGCATTGCCTTATTAGGAATTTCTGAATCTTGTAAATAAAAACGTTTTATATATATTTCAGCTCCAGATTTCACAAAGGAGATAGTAGCTGCATTTGGCATTTTTGCCTGTGTTTTATTCATCAGCGGATGCACTTACAAATTTTTCAAGATTACTATTGTGCTGTGGTACCGTGACACCTTTCCTGCGAAGTACCCTGAAAATGGTAGGTGCACATTCAAAATTTGTTAAAACTAACAGCAAATTAAGTGAAATGTTTTCCAAATAAATTTAGTATAATGTTCTGGTAAATTATACTAATGCTTTGTTCTTTTGCAGATGGTAAGAGTTATGATGCTTATATCGTATATCCACGAAGCTCTTGTTCATCATACTGTACCAACATCCTTGTCTTTGTTATGGATATACTCCCCCAAGTTTTGGAATGCCAGTGTGGATATAAATTGTTCATACCTGGACGAGATGATCTACCTGGAGAAGGTGAGAATGAACTGTTGACTCATAAGGCTGTGTGGTCCTCGATCCTCACATTTGCATTGAAAGTAAATCTATAGGATTGTTTCAGCCAATTTGATTCACTCCATGTGATATCAAGAAGTAGCTGAAGGCACTGGTTGCAGCAAAGGTTATAGGTTATGACACCATTCCAGCAATGGTATTGAATCAAACTTGCAGACTGTTGGAGAAACTCAACAGTGTCTCTGTAGAGAGAAAAACAGAGTTAAAGTTTTGAGTCTAATATGATTTCATCAAAACTGTATGGTACTGAAGACTTCTGTTCCAGAACTAGCCATGCCACAAGCTAAGTTGTTCCATTTCAGCCATAACACTGGCACATCCAGCAATGTGGAAAATTGTCCAGGTATGTTCTGGCCACAAAAACACCAACTTAGCCAATTAATACCCTATGAGTCTATTCTTGAACATTATCGAAAAGATGGAAAGGGTCATCAACAGCACTATCAAGAAATGCTTGCAAAGGAATTCCCTGCTCCCTGACATTCGACTTTTGTTTGGCCAAGGTCATTTAGCTCCTAATCTTATTATAACCGTGAACCAAACATAGACAGCAAAGCTTAATTCCAGCGTGGAGTGAAAGTGACTGCTGTTGCCATCAACATAACATTTAACCAAGTATGACATCAAGTGTCCGAGTGAAACTGAAGTCAATAGAAATTGGAAAAAACTCCCCACTCTTTAGGGTCATGCCTAACACAAAAGATGACTGTGGCCTTTGGAGGTCAGTCATCTCAGTCCCAGGATATTACTGCAGGCAGTTCTCAGGGTAGTGTCCTATGCCCAACCATCTTCAGCTGCTTTGTTAATAACCTTACCTCCATCAAGAGGTCAGAATTTTGGATGGTCGCTAATGATTGTTCAGTACCATTTGTAATTGCTCAGAAACTGCAGCATTCAGTATCCATATGCAGCAAGATCTGGACAGCATCACCATAAATATTACTTGCCACTGAAGTGTTAACCAAAGACCATCTCCACTAAAAGAATATCCAGTCGCCTCCATTTGATATTCAATGGCATTACCATCACTGAATCCTTCCATAATCAACACACTCAGTTATCAATGACACGTGACTGAACTGGATAAGTAATATAAATACTGTGACAACAAGGGCATGTCAAAGGCTGGGAACTCTGGCAAGTAACTCACCTGCTGACTCCCCAAGTCTGTCTCATCCATGAGACACACGTTCACCCACACAGTATCCAGACTTGGAATTAAATCACTCTTCACTCACTGCTGTTGAGTCAGAATCCTTGAACTTCTTCCCTCAGAGTACTGTGGGTGTACCTGCAACAGATGGAATGCAGCACTTCCAGAAAATGACCCATAACCATCTTAAGGGAAGTTTGGGTTGAGGTACAATTACTGGTGGAACCAGTACCAGACACATTTTTGGGGGTTAAAAAAACCACAGTACTGCCAATATTGGCTATATTTCTATTCTGGAGGATGCAAGTAAATACAAAGTATGAAAGAGCATTTTTAAAGGTTATTTATTCAACTGTGGAGTGTGGGCATTGCTAATAAGGCCAGCAACTAATCACCAATCCCCAGTTGGCCTTGTGAATGTGAATGCTGAACTCCCACCTTTACTTGCTGTGATCTGTCTGGTTTAGGCAAGCTCACACAGCTGTTTGGTAAGGAGTTTCAGGATTTTGACCTAGTGACCACGAAAGAATGGGGCTATATTTGGAAGTCAGGATAATGTGTAATTTCAGAGGGGAGCTTAGAAATGGTTGGGCATTCAAGTGAAACCTGCCCTTGTGCTTATAAGTGGTAACAAATTCAGGTTTGGAAAGTACCACCAAAGAAATTATATTGAGATATTGCGATGAATTTTACAGCACTGCTCCTGCCATGCACCTATAGAAAAGGAATAAATGTATAAGGTAGCAAATGGCATAATTATTGGAAAGCTTGCTTCTTCTTGGATGGTATAGGATATTTTACATGTTGTTAGATTGGCACTCATTCAGGCCAATGCAATGTATTCCATGACTTCTATTTTGTAGGCCACAGAATGACTTTTGGAAGATAGAAAGTGTGTCACTCAATGCAAAATAACCAGCCTCTGACCTCTTGTAGCCAAAATATTTATAAGGTAGATAATGACTACCCGCTAGTCTTTAAAGACAGGATTTTAATTTTGGTAATGCAATAGAATGTGAAGGGAAATGGAGCAAGGGAAATATCAATGGATTTCTGTGTATACGCTGATGACTGCTTATATTTTACCTGCAATGCAGTGGGTATCCACTGGCCCCTTGCAATTAATATATCTTCCCAACCTATGTACAGTTACGATGGTAGCAAAAAGCCAGGTGTGTCATTGGCATCCCAGAAGCAATTTTTCAACTCTGTTGATTTGCTCATCTTATGCTTTCTCCATTTTTTTGTTCTTTTCAGATTACATTGAAAAAGTAAAATCAAACATCAAAGACAGCAGAAGACTGATTATTTTGATGGCAAAATCCTTTGATAAACAACTGTGCACCATGTTTGAACAGCAAGTTGGACTGCATGATGCATTAATATCTAATCAAATGGAAGTTATTCTGATTGAGTTAGAATATCATGATAATTACAGTGACCTTCCAGAATCAATGAGGCATATTATACAAAAGAAAGGAACTGTTAAGTGGACAAACAGTGAATGGGAAAAAGAATCTCCATCATTAAACTCAAAATTCTGGAAACAAGTGAGATACAAAATGCCACCGAGGTCTTCTCAGTCTTGCTGTAAAATTGAGTATTACTAGATGTTAGAAAGGCATTAAATATCATTTCATATTTCACGAAAGTGCAGACATTTATCCTTTCGGTAATAAGGTTCACTGCAGACGTGGATATTTCTGAACACTCAGGAGTGAATTTCTTCAGGTCCTTTCCTGTTGTAACTTTGGAAGCTCAACAAAAACTCTTTTTATTGCAATCTTATTAGCATCAAAATAACTGACCCTGTTAACAATGCCAAAGTCTTTTAACTATTTGCAATACAGATTTAAAAATGGTTTATTTTAGATTGATGCTTCCTGATGCCATTTTACAACTGTGTAGTGCACACATGAGTATCCACAAATGATTCGTCAACATAGAAGTAAATATAGTTTGGTAAATTAATGTATTCGAAAAGCAGGTTTATAAAAACTGAATACAATATTGAACTTATTTTAGATGAAGTTGAGGTAAAGGATCCTGTTTTGAAAGTTTCATTTGTTCTGTGCAATTATTTATAATTTGAAGAACTTTAGACCCATAAAATGTAGGAGCAGAAATAGACAATTCAAGCTATTGAGTCAGCTTTGCCATTTAGTGAGATCATGGCTGATCTGATAGTCCTCAACTCCACTTCCTTGTCTTTTTCCCATAACCCTTGACCCCATTACTGATTAAAAATCTGTCAATCTCAGCCTTGACTATACTTAAAACCCCTGCCTTGACATTCATCCGTGGTAAAGAATTTCACAAATTCACTGCACTCTAAGAGAAGAAATTCCTTCTCTGTTGTAACTGGGTGATGCCTTACTTTGAGTTTATGTCATCTGGTCTTAGATTATTTAACAAGGAGAAACAACATCTCAGCATCTACCTTGTCAATCCTCCCCAAGAATCTTCTGTTTCAATAAGGCCGCCTCTCATTTTTCTAAACTTCAGAGTGTGTAAGATCAAAATACTGGACCTTTCCTCATAAGACAACCTCTGCGTATCCGGATCAACTGAGTGAGTCTTCTCTGTACTGCCTCCAGTGCCAGTATAGCTTTCCTTAGATAAAGGGTGCAAAACTGCACATAGTGTTCTGTATGGTCTGCCTGGTGCCTTGTATAGTTTTAGCAAAATATCACTATTTTTATACTCCATTCCCCTTGAAATAGGATCAACATTCCCTGTTCTGCTGAATGTATATGCTAGCTTTTAATGATTTAAGCATGAAGACTCCTAAATCATGCTGTACAGCAGCTTTCCACAGTCTTTCTCCATTTAAGTAATATTAAGTTCTTCTACTTTTCCTACCAAAATGCATAACTTACATGTTGTGACATTACATTCCATCTGCCAAGATTTTGCTACTCATTTAACCTGAGTATATCTTTCTGCTGACGCTGTCATTTTAAAAACATGCCTACCCACCTATTATTGTCATCTACAAATTTAAATATAGTGCATTCATTTCCCTCATAAAAGTTATTAATATACACTGTAAATAATTGTGTCTCCAGCACTGATTATTGTGGCACTTCACTAGTTACAGGTTGTCATCTTGAAATGTCCTCCTTATCCCAACACTCTTTTCTTCTATTGGCCAATCCTTTGTTCATGTGTGCAACACCTTGGGCTGTTACGGGCTCTGTGTGGTACCTTTCCAAATGCCTTCTGGAAATCCAAATATATTACAGTTACTAGTTCTATCATTTATCCTGCTTGTCACCTCCTTGAAAAATTCTAATAAATTTGTCAGACATGATTTCCCCTTTGTGAAGCCATGCTGACTGTGTTTGATTAACATTTTTAAATGCTGTGCTGTTACATCCTTTATAGTAGACCCTAACTTTGTCCCAACAACAGACCTGCCTTTTAAATAAGGGTGTTATGGTGGCAGTTTGTCAGTCCTCTGCAACATTCCCAGAATCTAAGGATTCTTGAAAGATTGGATGCTCTGGTAACAATGTCTCTGCCGCTACTTTAATATCCTAGGATGCATTTCAACAGGTCCAGGGGACGTATTTGACTTTCAGCCCCATTAGCTTCTCTAGTACTTTTTTCTTATGTTACATTATATCCTGTCCCCCTTTCCCTTGATTGTTTCATATTTTTGAGACATTATTATGGAATTAAAATACTATCCAAATCCTAAAAATGTTCAGCTTAACTGTTTGAAGTTGATTACGAGGAAGCACAGAATAGCAACAATTTGCATGAAATAAAATGATGATTTGTGGATTAAGGAAAGTTTTCCTGGAGATTTAATTGTTTTGAAGATTACTGTGCTGTAATTTGAAAGGATCCCTATCTAATATAAATCTAAAGCAAATGTGCTTAATAAAATGTTTTTAAAATGAATCAAAGCTTTGAAAGTGACTTTGGATGACATAATGGGATAGAAATGTTATTAATATCTATACGTCATGTCTTCTAGATACATTTGCACTTCTTATTTTGTGGCTCCTTTTATTAAATTGTTCTAGCATATGTAGAAAATAGAATAAGTCCTATATGTGATCCTTCTGATATACTTACTTTTGTATATCAGTTATGAATTATGTCAGGACCATTAAATGATGGATCACTGACTTCTGAATTCAGCAGAAGCAATGTTCTGTAGTGGTATCTAAATAAGATCAGTCACATCTCTGGTTGCAGTTTCCACATACAGAGCATGGTGGAATAGCAACAGCTGGTACACCCATTGAAGGGAGATGCACTGACTGTTGCAGGGATGAAAAAGGGGCCCATCTGGCGAATAAAAACAACGTATTGGAGAAACTCTCTAGGCCCGAAACGTCAGCCTCTCTGCTCCTATGATGCTGCTTGGCCTGCTGTGTTCATCCAGCCCTGCACCTTGTTGTATTGGAGAAACTCAGCAGGTTTGGCAGCATCTGATAATGGAGAAAGAGTTATCTTTCAAGTTCAGCATGATTCTTCTTTGGAACTTGGGATCCTGGCTTGAGCTGTAGTACGCATATGAATTTCTTTTTAACTCTCCACCTATAGCCGTAGCGTATTTAAGGCACGGTCCCAGTAGATGACCCAACTGGGCAGCATACATGCGCTTACAACTAAAATGTCTAGTGGGTTTCCAAGGTTCACTCATACAGATGTGACAGTAGGATGTACCTGGCAGGCTAAGCATAGAATTTTAGCCCAGAAACTTTATTGTTTATTACACAATAATAATTTGAAACTAGTAATGAACAGTCTGATAGGGCTATTCATTTTTAAGCTCTTAGAGTGTAGAAGGTAAAAGTAATGTCACAATAGTACCACAGGGCTCATCTCTCATTAGAGTGAGACACCTGGTGGTGGTTTAATCTAAGGGTCACTATACATCATGTGATGGGCAGGGTTGAGAAGATGGGACTTTCATAGTGACCTCAGCCAGTGTGAGAATTGAACCTGCACTGATAGCATCACTTTATATCGCAAACTAGCCTTCCAGTCAACTGAGCTAACCGTCCCCCCAAACTATCATTGGCTGAGCAATGGTCTGTGGTGCAGAGTGACACCAAGAACGCATCTTCAATTCCTGCATCAGCTGATGTTATTCATGAAGGTCCCACCTTCTCAACTCTGTCCCTCGTCTGAAGTATGATGATCCTCAGATTAAACCACCATTTTGTGAGAGAGCAGTCCTCTGGGTCTGTGGCAACTTTATGATATAGAATTGTATTCTGGACTACAATACAATGTTTTAATAACATTAATAATTGCATATGTAGTACTTCAAACAAAATAATACTGTAGTGGTTCTTCATTTTTCAAATGCAGATACTTTCCATTTACCACCTAAGTTAACACAGCCCAGTCCATCACCCAAGCCAGCCTCCCATCCATTGACTTCATCTATACTTCCCGCAGCATTTGGAAAACAACCAACATAATCAAAGATCCCTCCCACCCTGGTTATACTGTCTTCCACCCTCTTCCATCGGGCAGAAGATTATATTAACATGTGAAAGGATTCAAGAACAGCTTCTTTCCCTGCTGTTGTCAGACTTTCTAATGTTAATATTGATCTCTCTCTGCAGCTGTAACATTGTATCCTGCACTCTGTTCTGTTACCCTGATACATTTGCATATTACCTTGGTATACATGACTGTAATAAATCAAATCAAATCATTTTTACTATTTCTGCCCTCCAAGCTGATTTGCTATGAAGATATAATCCATTTGGTGTACATAGTCAACCAGTCAGACTGTATCTGATATTACATGTGTATTGTTTATGCATACCAAATATATAATCTAAATAAAAGACTTCTTCAAAATGCTGATTTGTTTCCTTGTACGGCTGTATTATCCACACTTCTTTAGTTTATGAATAGTTCCATACAGCTATCTCTAGTCTCCTACTTTATTCAATACATTTTGCTCATTAGCTGACATACCTCCATTGGAAGCACAACAATGGTGAAATTTATTAGAGTATACCCTAGTTTCTCATACACCGATCAAAATTATATAGTAACATTAACAAACCTGCTGGTGGTAATAGTGAGCTTGTAAAAACAAATATGCTGATCGGTGTGAAGTAGGGCAGATGTGCCAAACTACAAATTGGGAATGTAAGGATTAAAAGATAGCATTACTGTGTTCGGGCTAAGAAACCGTGTGATTGCTTGTTCCCTTGGGTAAACACAAAAGATCTCAATTTCAAGGCTGTAGTTAGAATGAGCATTGGCAGAAGCGATCTTGGGGAGAATATTGCAACACTGCTGCTAGAAATCATAGCACTCAGCAATTAGAAGAATATGATCTGGTCATGTGCATGTATGTCATGTGCTGTTGGGGAGTGTGTCCAGCCACGATAATTTGTGTAAGACCATAAGAAATAGGAACAGCATTAGGCCATTCAGCCCTTGAATCTGTTCCACTATTCAATAGGATCATGGCTGATCCTACATTCCTTCTGTCCACTTTCCTGCCCTTTCCCCATAACTCTTGATTCCTCACTGATCAAGAATCTATCTCAGCCTTAAATATCCACAAGGACTCTGCCCCCACAGCCATCTGTGGCAAGGAGCTCCAAAGACTTACAACCCACTGAGAGAAGAAATTCCTCCTCATCTTTGTCTTAAATCGACACCCCTTTATTCTGAGACTATGCCCTCTGATCCCAGAGTCTCCTAAGAGGGAAAATATGTTTCAGCATTTACCCAGTCAAGCCCCTAAGAATCCTATCTGTTTCAATGAGATCATTAATGTTAATGTTGATCTCGCTCTCTGCAGCTGTAACATTGTATCTTGCACTTGGTTCTGTTACCCTGATACACTTGTATATTACCTCAGTATACATGACTGTAATAAATCAAATCAGATCATTTTTACTACTTATGCCCTCCAAGTTGATTTGATTCAACCAGTCAGACTCTGATATCACATGTATATTGTTTATTCATACCAAATTTCAATGAATAGATTCCCAACCTGTTCCATCTTTGCTCATAACACAATCTCTGCATACCAGGTATCACCCTAGAGAATCTTCTCTGAACTACTTCCAATGAAATTATATCTTTCCTTAAATAAAAGGACCAAAAATATTTGCAGTACTCCAGATGTGTTCTCACCAGGACTTGGACAGTTGCAGTGAGACTTTCCTAATCAATTGCAGTATGATGTAAGAAATGTCTAGCTAAAATGGACTGAGTAACTGTATTTAACACTTGTATATTACGATCTGAACAGTAGAAGATGATGGAGAACTTAGCAGGGGCTGACTAGAATATTCATATTTTCTGTGTCCACACAAAATAAACTTGTATTTTTACTGAAACACTGTGTCGAGATTATATTTTGATATCCACTTTGAGAACCACCATAAGGTATCAGAGCACTATGTGCAGTACTGGCCACTGTACTTATGGAAAGATGTTAATGCATTGGGAAAATTTGCAGAGAAGATTTACTAAACAAATACCTGAAGTGAATAGATTACCTTATGAAGAAAGGTGACACAGGCAAGGCCTGCATCCTCTGGAGTTTAGAAGAGTCAAGAGTGACTTAATTGATACATATAAGATCCAGAGGGGACTTGACCTGGTGGATGTTGAAAGGATGTTTTCTTGTGGGAGCATCTAGAAGTAGTGGTCATACTTTAAAAATAAGGGGGCACCCTTTTAACACAGAAGGGAAACTTTTATTTTTCTTCAGGAGGTGCAGTTTGAGAGAGTTTGGAATTCCCTTTCTGAAAGGGTGGTGGATGCAGAATGTTTAAATAGGTTGTAAGGCAGTGATAGGTAGATTCTTGATTAGCAAAGGGCTGGAAGATTGTTGGGGATATGCAGGAACGTCAAATTGAGATTAAAATCAGATCACCATGATTTTATTGAAAGGCAGAGCAAAGTCAAGGGGCCAAATAGCCTACTCTTGTTCCTTGTGCATATTTTATTTATTCTTTCATGGGATTCTTTCATTAACTCTTGTGCTCCTAAGATATCCATCTATGTTTTTCCAATTCTGGCACCTTGAATATCCTGGACTCTAATTCATCAACTGTTGGTGATTATGCATTCAGCTGTTTATACCTTTAATCTCTGGATTATCCATCCTCCAACTCTCTGTCTCTCAACTCTCTGTCTCTCAACTCTCTCTGTTCCTATTTAGAGATATTAAAAATGCTGTATAAATACAAGTTAAATTTATACTGCCTTTTATGATTTATTTCTTATTCTTATTTCCTTCCATAGTTATTATTGAAAATAGTGTGGTTAAATTTGCCATTGTCCCAGAGGGGCATAAAGGTCGCTGTCCGATTAGAGAGAGAAAGCTGACTGGTGGTGAGTTTAACTTGACGGTCTCCATGCTTCAGGTGATAGATGAGGTAGAGAAGGTGGGACCTTCATTGTTACCTCAGCTAGTACAGGAATTGAACCTGTGGGTAAGGCAACTGTAGTGGTCCATGTGTAGCTTAACTGAGGGAGACCTATAAATTCAACACAATTCAGTAGGGCATGTGACATCGTAATATTCTTTTAGAATGCACAGCTCTTTCATTCACTCAGCTAAAACTGATGATTTCATTTGGAATTAAATTCAGTAAATAAATAGCTGTTCTTGATAAGAAACATGATGTTTGATGATTGTTGTGAGATTGTGCTAGCTGAAATATTAATTTAGAATACTATTGACTGGTCATAGAGTTATACAGCACGGAGCCAGATCCTTCGGTCCAATACCGACCAGATGCCTTAAACTGATCCAGTCTCATTTGCCAGCGTTTGGCCAATATCACTTTAAACCCTTCCAATTCATATACCCATCCTTTTAAATGCTGTAATTGTACCCGCCTCCACCACTTCCTCTGGCTGCTCATTCCACACACACACCACCCTCTTGATGA